TGGGTGTGGCTCAAAAGTAAAAAAACAGGGGCAAACCGGTACCGGTTTTCGGAGCCGCAGCCATTTGGGTATGGGTCAGAACCTATGCCAACAGCAACCATGGAAGTCCCAGGCGCCGCTGAAGCGCCAGAGCCACCCGGGCTTGTCAAAGAGCACCACGTCCAGCGCCGCGCAGGTGACCTCGAGTCGGGTTCGAGTCGCGACGCTTCGCTCGAGTCGGATTTGGGGAAGCCTCACCCGGGGTGACGCGTTCTCCGTCTCCTTTTGGCTTCCGTTTAAAAGAACCACCCAAAAAAGCAAGGCCAATCAAGAAGACAACCTCAGGGAAAACTGTAGATTTGGGGAGGGTGGGGGGCTGGCATGGCTCGAGCCTCACCTGGGTTACGCGTTGAAACCGTGTCCTTGTGGGTTTTCTTGGTAAAAACCACGACACAAAAAAGGTGGGAAGCCTGACCGGGGTGGCGTTTCCGTTTTCCGGCTGAAAACTTTTGGCTTCCGTTTAAAGCAACCATCCAAAAAAGGGCAGCCTCAAGAAGAAAAGCGGTGTAGTGGGTATGTCTTTGTTTGAGGGTGCCCTTTGTGGGGTGGTTTGAAAGGGAAACTAAATAAACATCCGTCTGTTGCGACCTTTGATTTACACAACCAGACTCCAACCGGATTCCAACCCCAGATGCAACCAAAACCATTGGCTGCGACATGGGTCTCAGCAAGCAAGCCCGGAGAGCAAGTTCTGATGGCGCATGTGTCTAAACTTGAGTTGGCCCCATCAAAGGGGCCGTTTGGTTCCGTTGCAAGAACAGAAACACCAAATGGAAGGCTTCCATTCAAACACACTCACTCGATCATAGCGGTGTTGTCTAATACATGTATATGTGCAACATAGCAGGCCCATCTTCGATGCACTAAAGAAGAAACAACTTCGATAAGCTGCCTGTGTAAAAGTAACCTGAACAAACTGGAATTTTGAGAGACCCCGATTGTTGCGGCTGACATCAAGTGAGTCCCATGTAACCCCACAAGGTAGACACATCCCGAAACACTGACCGAACTTAAGACCCGAAGCAATGGCTTAACCGGCTTAACTCTACAACTCTTGATATGGAAGCTTTGCAGGACACCCAGCAGTACAAATGAACAGAACCAAAAAACTAAAACAAGAAACATGCCAAGAACAGTGAACACAATCTAATCTGATCTATTTTCTGAGACCCCAGGAACCTCAAGGCTTCCCCGCTGCGACCCATCTCGCTGCGGCGCGACCGACTTCCGCACCGACCGAGGCGCGAAGATCATCTCGCAGCAGTTCCGGAGGTTCACAAAGTCCGTGCCCGCGCCCAGAATCCGGATTGCGAACTCGATGCCGCACCATATCCTTGGCCAGGTGTTTTTGTGTTGTTTATGTGTGCCCAGTTTTTTCCCGAGGACGGGCACAGAAGAAACAAGCTGATCTCAAGTGATCTCCCGGCTTCCGCGGCAATGACAGTTCCGACATCGCTCACATCATTGCCAGGTTTGAGGCATGGTGGTATGAGGCAATGTCCACAAGCTGATCTCAAGCTTTGTGCAAGTGAGTTCGCCGTTCAAAGGATGGAAGTCGGGTGGCCCATTACTATTGCAGTATTCGTAGAGCTTCGTCCATCCCAACTGGTGCGAAGTGGATTTTGTCACCCAAACATGATTTGACATATTTTCCTCTGAAGCCAAAACGTGCCTGTGCCTCTGGATGCTTGTTGCAGGATACTTCTCAGTCATTCAACTCCTGCAGACCAACATGGGCTAAACATAGGGGACCCCCAAAATGGTAGTGGTTCTTTTGATTTCGCTTCCGTGGTACCTTTCAAACAAACAGCCACACAGAACCAAAAAAGGGCTCCCAAAACGACTTTCCTCCGAAAGTAGCTTCCAACCATTCGACTCAGAGATCCTTCGATTCGTCACCAAAAACCTGGGGAACACCGGTAGCGCTTGGATCGCCCAGTCATCATATCTCCAAGGACATCAGCACTTGGGGCATTGTCAATACACCTGCAAAGTTTACTATAATTCCAGAAGCTGAATCAAGAACTTTCGCTCGTTACACCCCCGAATCGGTGAGCTCGCTGGACAATTGGCGGAACACATGTCTCTTTGGGGGTGCGACGCTTGGTGAAAATAAAGTAGGGAAGCCTGCCCATGGGTCTGGACATGAGCAGGGATCCCCGCCCCCTACCTGCAACAACGTTCACAGGGTTCGAAGAATACATCCCAAGGTCACCTTTGCAAGTGACTCCTCTAAATCAGCTAAGTGATAATCTCAACCTGTCCCAAATGGTATGTCCACTTTTGTTGCAAACTACCGGTAAAGCACTTGGAAGCTGCCGGGTCTTGACCAATGCTTGTCTTAGCTATACACTTCTATGTCTTTTTTGGGCCTACCCTTTTTTTAGCGGTTTGAAAGGGGAACCACGAGGACAACCGCCATTTTGGGGCTCCCCTGAAGAAAGACACACCCACGCCTCGCTACAATGCCCACGAAGCCAGGTAGAGCTAAAACGGCCATAGGGGAGAGCATGGCGCCGTTCATGGGCTCGTATAGGCCACCTTGCCCCCATTAAAAGAATGGTTCACTCAAACTTCTTACATCAATTATGCTGGTTACACTCCAATTTGGATGATGAAACTCCTTATGATAAGTTTTGCAGGTTATATTTACGCCCTTTGTTTTAATGATTGTTTGAACCCCAGGAGAATTCTCTGCACGGGCCAAAGAAGTCCTAGCTTTTTGTTTTCCACTAAAATGGTCCAAGCTCAAAGAACGAATGAAAGTCCAGGAACTCAGGGGTAAGACGATATTCATAGAAGCACCTTCTAAATGGACAGGCCTTGAAGGGTGCTGATATAGATGACCTGGACCTGACAAAGGAATTGAACCCAGTGCCGTCAATCTGGCAAACTGACCTCGAAGAACACAAATTATGCCTCTCTCATTCTCCAACCATAATTGAGAAATATGGCAAGGGACCTTTGTCACTGGGTTTGATATCGTTTTTATTCTTATGTGATGAGCTTGCGACATAGTGCAGATATGTAGGGGAGTTTATTCTTCATATTCTCTTTTTGGTGGTAATGGGGCCCCAACAAGGGTACCCTTAAAAAGGAACAAACAAACACATATTCCCCAAATGCTTCCGCCCTCTCTCCGAGTTCTTGCGCCGAGCAGCAGAAATCCCACTCGACACCAGAAGAATGGCTCTGCCAGATTCTCCTGATGCCCAACGTCCACCTCTACGCCGATGTACACCAAATTGCCTCGCTGTGGGTGGGTTTTGGGGTTTGGGGTTTGGGGAGGTGGGGAGGTTCGGAGGTTGGGGCTTTGGGGCTTTGCGGGTTTGGGGGGTTGGTCTTGGTTGAGGTTGATTACTCCGGGGTCTCTCAAAGTTGAGGACCCCAAATATCGGCTCACGGAAAAAGGCAACGCAGGCAACCCCTGACCGATCTTCGGGGGGTCCCCGATTTTTGGAGAAACACCCAGGCCATATGTGTCCTTTTAGGGGAAATAGATGGATATCCCAGGTATATGATTAAACCACCAGGCAAACCAGGAATCGAAACCCATCCATTTTTCAAGCAAAACCAACCAAAAAGGACAGCAAAAAAAGGAACCCAGTCGGAGGTGCAGAAGACCACGAGGTCGCAAAGCAGCACAAAGACGGTGTCGCTCTCAATGCGGTGAAACAGGGGGATGCCGGGCATGGCCCCGCTACATCCTCGAACTACTTTTTTGTTTTCGGGCCGACTCGAGCCTTAACCAGCTGCCAGCGCGATTGTTCGAAGCATGGTTGACGCCTTCATGAGCAAGTGAGCCACTGTCGTATAAAATGCAGCCATCCACACAGAACATGGGAACTTTGTGTGTCCTCGCTGAGCTTTTGTGGGACATTTAAGTCTGTCCTGATCCAAGAGTTTCAGGCGTAGTTTTGGTCCAAGGTCCTACTTCTATACCGCAAAACATCAGACCTAGGGGTATGCACCTGGTTGTACAGCGGCCATCCACACCATGCAATGTTCACATCCTTCGTGGTATGTTCTTTCACGACCAAGAACGTTAGATTTGGTGGAAAGTTCCGGCCCCTCGAATGGTTCACACACCAATGGGGATGCGTCAAAATAGTTGCAGCCCAAAAACCGGTTGGAGTGTTCATGTTGTTGTTATCAAATTGACACAAGCTGAAGCAGGTGCCCAAGTTAGGCTCGGATTCCGGATGCATGTTTTCGCGGCTGGTGCAAGCCATTGGAACCCATGAGCCACTGAGCTCGATTTGGTCCCCGTTCGTGCGGCGAGTCCAACGTCCAGTGCGGAGAAATCCCAAAGACTTGGATCGAAAATCAGACTGTGTCGGTCCAATAGGGCTATTTCAGATGGTAGGCCGTCCATTCCTAATGAACACCTAAGAACAGCTTCAGGCGGATGTGGCTTCCAAGTGTGCGTGTAATTACTTGAGTGGATGTATCTGGTTTCAACTGATGTATTGCGTGGCTCGTGATGCCTGTTCTTGAGGCACGTATGAATGTCAAACCAGAATTCATCTGGAGGATCGTATCATTCAGTATTAATCAGGGCCGGTTCCCGCTTTAGTGGGGCATCACTTCCTTTTGAACGGATTCCTCGGAGCACCTCGGTCCAAGTTGAAGTGAGGGACGTAGCCATCCGGAGTCTCTATATGGCAAGCCTACTTGGCGCAAACTGGGACTGCACACGGTTTGCTTTCTACTTCCCACATGGACATCCATGGAACAACACACCCTTTTGTTCGTGCCCCCCCCCTGCCACAAAACCCTGAAAGGGTTTGGTTTTTGGCACAATCTGCAGCAAATGGTCCCAAAAAACACCCTAAAGAAGCTGTCTTCCTCCAGAATTTCCTGTAACCCAACCCTTTGAAACCCCAAAAGATCCACCACCGCACCTAAGAAAAAGCAAAAAACAAAAACAACAAACAAACAGTCAGTGCTGGGCCCGCAGCACCAGCAGCGAGACCTGCGCCTGAGCGCGCAGCTGAGCGTTCAGCTCGTGAAGTCAGGCTCTGGTGTTGGCTCCCGCAGACGTGGGCAGTGCAAAAAGGGAGGCTTGCAGGGGTTCCCCAAATTACCCGTGCCCCACCAAGAGTAAACTCATTTTGAGTTGGCCCACAAGGTGAGGAATTTCCCCTTCAAGTATCACCCCACCAACAGGAAACTCACTTTAAATTGGTGATGCTTGAGCCAACCCAAAGCGGAAATATAGGGAACCCTGGCCTAGGGAGGAACCTTGTAAAACAACACAAGCGATTGGCGATGGTTGGGATTATTGGGCTTCCTAAATTCTTGGGGAATCATCCCCAATGGAAACTTGCGAGGTACGCAAATGCCAGCGGCTCTCTACATGTTTCCTGTGCTGTTGCTCTGGGTGTTGGCCGCGAGTACTAAACATTGTTGTTTTCAAGATTGTGAAGTGTGCGAGAAAAAAAAAAAAAAAAAACAGGCCTGATGCTCAAGTATGGCAACATGAATGTTCTCTACTTACCAAAGAAGTACAACTCATTGCAAAGCGCACACACACCCGTTCAGAGGTTCAAATGTTGGGGCGGTAAAAGCTTGAACGTTCATGTTGCACCAGCCACAACTAGGCCAAAACAACCAAAACATAAGCAGCACACATATGCTCCCAACATGGAAGCCAAACATTCTCCAAACGAATATTTTTCTAAGTCTGGCTCTTTGGGGTTGCATGTTCATCTGCGCAACCATGTTGGCTTTGGAGCCAGAAAGGCCTTCCGATTCCAAGGGTGGATCTCAGTCTCACATCTAGGGACAGCTTTGCAAACCGGGGATTTCTGGGTGGCGGTTGGAGGGAAACCTGCTCTACCAACTTGACCCACGGGCTGTTTGCCGCACCAGAGAAGCAGGCGATTGAACCAGGGCTATGTTGCCCTTTGACTAGCTGCCTTGCCCATCCTGTTCGAACACTTCCTGGTTCTCAGGGAATGCGAGAATGACCCCGAACTGAACCATCCCACTGGTTTCCTTTAAGCCTTTAAAGGACCCCGTTCCACACACATTCCCCGCACCCCTGTTGATTCTTTAGCCATCGCACCAGCAACAACTTCTGACCCACAGATCGATCATCGAGCCTGCTTTCGCGGCCAAAACTTCGCTTTGCGGGACGCTTGAAGGGGGTGTCTAAACCGCATCCCCTCAAACTTCTGCTGGATATGATATGGGTCAAGTAGCTTTGGTATCCCTACAGATGGGCAATGTGGCCGTTTCCCTTGGTTTTTCCCCTTAAAACACAACCCAAAGTGGGTACCCTCAAAAGACGAGCCCAACTCCCACTCGGCGGCGCGCCATGGACGTCTCGATCTCCTGCAGCAGGTGGTGGAGGATGGCACGCAAGTGGTACCTGCCGCAGTCTCTTTCTGCCGGGGAATCCAAGAAAAAGCGCCTCGAAAGATGCGAGCGGTGCGAATGCAGCCCGACGAAAATCCATCCGATTCGGTTTCTTTTGAGTTGGAATCCCCAGGCTCATTCCATTTCTCATTCCCTGGCTACAGCAGCAAGCCACAAAGGAGACGATTTGGTTGGGGGGGAAGGGTGCCTCTTGCGGCGTTTTGCCTGAGATCTCAGGTGAATTGCTGGCATTCCGGCGATTTGCCGGAGTGGCAGGCTGGAATGAGTTTGAGGTCACTGAAAGTCTTGGGCATTTGGATGCCGTCTTGAAGCATTTGGAAACTCAAATAGGCGGCCTGGGACAGTGATGTGTTTGGAAGAAGTTGCTCGCTGTGCAACAACCAAACCTCAAGACCTTAGTTGGGAGATCGTCGAGGGCACCCTGTCCCCTTTAGCCAGCCCAAGCCCCGACCCCGCGAGACGCCCCTGCATCCGCTTAGCAAGGCCTTGGTAGGGCTGTATTTCCCTTTGGGACATCCCCGCACCAAAAAGAAACTCAATTCAACTCGGCCAAACGAAGTTGATGTTTAAAGCATCCGAGGCGCTCTGACCAAATTACAACATCCAAACATGGACAACATTGGTTCAACTCCCTACCAGCCCCAATACTTTTTCGGGTGGAGGGTGCGACCCCCGAAAAAAAGCAAACAAATGCAAAGGAAGCCAAAACATGGGCTTCTGACTTGTTTGGAGTGTGGGGCAAGCCTGTTTCTAGTCGCAGTTTTCTGCCTTGGCTTGTACCCACACATGGCAGTTGTGTGAAAGATGGCACAATCCCCTCTTGATTCAAGTTTGAGGGTCCCGAGTTCTGCCATGCACAATTAGAGCGCTGTGTATATTCTGAAAGACAGACTCAAGCTGGGATTCGCACCTTTGGGTTATACCGGCAAGCCGAAGGGAACCCTTGCCATGTTAGGGTGGCGATTCCTATTTGGACGTCTCTGTTTTTTGGCACCTCAAATTGATGGCTTTCCTTTGGGTTTCCCCTGAAATGAACATAATCAAAACGGGGTGCCACCCAAACAGCACACAAAAGTCTAGGGGTGCCGGGGATCCTTCTTTTCAGGAAACCATCAAAGGCCCAGGGGAAACGATCCGGCTTTTGCAAGGAACCGATGGCTGACAAGAATGGACCAGGAATCAAACCCTTGACCGACCGCCCGCTCCCACGATCAAAGCAACCAGCTTTGGGCGCATGGCGGCGTCTCCTGCCACAGTGGCCAGGCGCCGGTAGTGCGCCACCTAGCGTGACCCGAAGGAAAATGTAGAAATCCCTCGATTGGTTGGTTTGTTGGCTTGTTGATTGGTTGGTTGGCTGGTTGGTTTGTTGATTGGTTGGTTGGTTGGTTGGTTGGTTGGTTGGGTGGGTGGTTGGTTGCACACTGGCAACCAACAAGCTAATCAATTTACTGATGGTGTCAACTACCCACCAAGAGCTCCAGCGAGGACAACTCCAGAATTACTAATTAATGTTCTTCTTCCTTTCGTAGTTCCGGTGATTTGAGGACTAGCTTTTGACATCAGGTTGGCGACATTGCGACCGAGCGTAGAGTCTTGGAGAGTTGGTCGGAAGGCATATCCCGTCGGTCCCAGATGAAGATAGGAAATGAAATCCCAAGATGAAAAGCTGGGGAAAGGAATGGTGGATGTCCTTCGCTCGCTCAGTTTGTTCCCTTCCACACTCTACCTTCATTATGTTTCTCATTTGCATCACCGACTGTTATTTCCTCACCCAGCCACCACTCCAACAATAAAACAAATAATAAAGTGGCTGGTGAAGAAATAGCCTTTACACTCCTCTCTGTTCACCCTTATCTTGGTTGATTCCCAGTGGTTGAACGCCTGGACATAAAATATGATGAAGGGATATAAGATAGAAAGAGAGGAATGTACGACCTAAAGGGAAAGTCCTGGATTTTTGGATGGATTCTTCTTTTGTCTCGTCCTTCCGCCACTTCCGAGCGAGTGCATGGGCCCAACAAGTTAACCAAACTTTTCGTGTACCACTAACATAGTCTTCCCAAAAAGCTGTTCAAGTCCAGGAGCGGTGCCTTTCTCTGCACAGGTTCAACCAAAGGATGAGTATGAACATGTTGAAATATACAGTAAACTGCGGTAAACTGGCAGTATTGGGTGACACATGATGGCAGTAATGGGTGACACGTGATGTGTGTCTCCCATTACTGCCATGTGCGGCCATATTTCAATTAGGGAGCCTTTGGTGGACATCAACATTGGGTGGGATTTATGTCCACCAACATATATTCAGGGGGTTCCAACTCGAAAAAAAAACATAACAAATACACATGGGTGTGGCTCAAAATTTAAGAGCTATGGTTTCGCAGGTTTTAGTCTTTGGTTCCATTTACCAAGGTGCCATTGTAGTACATGTCTTTGAGCCACAGCCACATCATCAGGGGACTTGCCGTGGCCATTGAAGGTAGGTACCGAGGCAACGGCCATCGACAGGAACTTGATGACGTTGTCCAGCTGCCTCAACTTGTTGGCCATCGACCCAGCCGGCACAGGACCTAATTACCCTCCCTCCCCCCCCCCCCTTGGAGGAGGAGCAACCAGCGGCCCTGGCAAAAAAACAACAACAACAACAAATGAACTCAGCTTTTTTGGTGAGTGACCCACCAAAAAAAAAACGCGAACGATCCGAACTCCGAACTTCCGCCTCGGCAAAAACCTATATGTATTGTTCGTTCCCGGACAAAACAAACACGCAAACCCAAGCAGCCGGGGAGGTTTGTATGTTTATGGGGCCATGCACCCCTTCTGGGATTAATTGTAGCTACATCTTGCAGTAATGCAATGCAAGCGAGCTGTTCCACGCGATTGCCCACCTTCATGCTGGGTCCTCCAACCAAGCTGCAGAAGCTCATCCTTGACACCTTCCGACGAAGTCGCCTTGCCCCACGTAAGGCTCCACTTTTCGAGCCGTTGCAAGACGCAACGCCCACTAAGGTCCAACAATTTTGGTGCCATGCGTTTTGACAGCTTGACATTGCTTCAGCGACCCATGCAGGCCAAACCGGGGACCGTCCAGACATCAAGAACGCCTCGAGCGCAGCCCTAAAGCGACCTCAGCTAGCACCTGGAAAGGGGGTCCACCCTTTTGAGAAACTCTAATCATGTTGACCCCGGATTAATAAACCCCCCGTTTATTAATATGGGGGTGTTCCTCTCCAAAAGTGATGAATCCCCACTAAAACCAGGGACACCCCAATATTAATAAACAGGGGTTTATTAATCCGGGGTCAACATTATGTCAAAGGCTCGGATCAACCCTCAGCATATGGAATGTCTGCGAGCGTCCTTCAACTTTAAAGACTGCACCGCTGAGCGAGGGACTTGTAGAGGTCGAGGTATGACTGCTGCACCTCGCGACTTCCCCCACACCCCTGGACAAGTACCCTCCTACCAATTAACATTGAAACCTGACAGGGCGGTCCTGGAAGACCGCCGTTTCCTTTGAAAGGGACCCCCTGTCGGATTCCATGTTCATTGGTGGGAGGGTATCTGTCTGGACCCTCTGCTTGCCGCAAATGAACAAAGAGTACATACCAAGAACACGTTTGCCCGCGGAAGATTCCTTGGGGTCAGTTTGTGATAAGGGCGTCCTCTGCAAAGGGCTGATTCCCTTTTCACGGCCCCTGGTGACATGATCATTCTTAGACCATGCTTGACAGAGTACCAGCGGCAATTGGCAAGGCGAGATACACGGACGACCCACTGATGAAGAGCTTCGGGTGGGGGAACACGTTGGGAGCCCTAAGCCAGAACAGCAGGAGTAAGCAGTGGCTCACAACCAAGCCATCAGCAATGGCAACATTTTGGACAAGCATCTGACACGTTAATATCTAGGCTGTCCTCAGATCCCCGCGAAAAGTTCAACATGTCCTCCCGCATTTGGGTGGGCCACCATCCATACCGGTGATATAGTGTCGGTTGATGTCGGTTGCAATGAACATTCCATGCATCAGCTCCACCCTAGGACCAGATGCCAAGTCTGCTGTTTTTTTCAAGTCATCCTCACCCCCAGGCCTCCAGGAAGCCCAAAGGCTAAACACCAAGAGGGGAAATATGGGGGCCCTGAGTCAAGAATGAATAATTGCTCCTGGAATCTTGAGGGTTTCCCGTTTCAGCGGGAAGGCCTTCACTTCTAGTTATCGACCCAAAATCCAGATTTTGGGTGGCCACACTGGCTTCTAAGTTCACTACACACATGATTCAGCCTCCCTCTAATTGGTGCTTCGTGATTTGGGAGGTCTTCCGGGGTAGCTTCCCAGAACAGCCCTCTACAAGACTTCACCGGAGGTTCAGTCCCTTCGTGTTTGGGTGTGTCTTTTTAAGGGACCCTTATGCTGGTGTTCCTTGTGGTTTCAACGGGGGAAAAAAAAACAGCCCAAAAGGTACCCTCCAAACAAGCACACACCCACATTTGGGCTGTCTTTGTTGAGGGTACCCTTTTGTTCGATGGTTTTAAAGGGAGAACCCTCCCCCCCAAAAAACAAACAAACAAAAACACACACATACATACACACACACACACACCACACACACACATACACATACACATACACATACACAGACACAGACACACATACACACACATAAACACAAACACAGACACAGACACAGACACAGACACACATACACATACACACACAAACACAAGCACAGACACAAACACACATACACATACACATACACATACACATACACAGACACACAGACACGCAGACCACACACACACAGACACGCAGACCACACAGACACACAGACACGCAGACCACACAGACACACAGACACACATACACATACACACACATACACACATACACATACACACATACACACACACACATACAAACACACATACACATACACACACATACATACACACACACACACACACACATACACATACACACACACACATACACATACACACACACACACATACACATACACACACACACACGCACACACACACACACAGACACACACAGACACACAGACACAGACACAGACACAGACACAGACACAGACACAGACACAGACACAGACACAGACACAGACACAGACACAGACACAGACACAGACACAGACACAGACACAGACACAGACACAGACACAGACACAGACACAGACACAGACACAGACACAGACACAGACACAGACACAGACACAGACACAGACACAGACACAGACACAGACACAGACACAGACACAGACACAGACACAGACACAGACACAGACACAGACACAGACACAGACACAGACACAGACACAGACACAGACACAGACACAGACACAGACACAGACACAGACACAGACACAGACACAGACACAGACACAGACACAGACACAGACACAGACACAGACACAGACACAGACACAGACACAGACACAGACACAGACACAGACACAGACACAGACACAGACACAGACACAGACACAGACACAGACACAGACACAGACACAGACACAGACACAGACACAGACACAGACGCAGACGCAGACGCAGACGCACGCAGGCGCAGACGCAGACGCAGACGCAGACGCAGACGCAGACGCAGACGCAGACGCAGACGCAGACGCAGACGCAGACGCAGACGCAGACGCAGACGCAGACACAGACGCAGACACAGACACAGACACAGACACAGACACAGACACAGACACAGACACAGGCACAGACACAGACACAGACACACACACACACACACACACACACACACACACATGGCCCCCCCCCCAAAAAAAAACACGAAAGACAAAAGAAACACATGAAGTGTCCCATCTGAATCGGTCCCCTAAGCCCGTGAAGTGGTTTCCCCCACGGGGTGCCACCGGCGGCCCGGCGGCTCTTCCGGCGGCGGCCTCCCGACACCCGCTGGCGCGGAAGAGCTCGTGGATGCCGCTGGCCTCCCATTCAAACCAAGCGAGGAGCAGACCTCCAGGAATTTCCGGAGTTCCTATCTTAGGGTTGGTCCAAAGGACGCCGAACAGCTGGAATCTGAGGGTTGTATCACACCCTGGGATTACACCCTTGGGAAATGGCCAAAAATGGTCAGAATAACATGACGTTATCCCGGATTTATGCCTAAATGGGGTCATTTCCCAGTGGGCGTAACCCCAGGGCGTAATACAAAAACCCTTAGATCCTAGTGAAATCGATCCCCTTGAAAACAGGTCAAAACCCTGTACCCCTGGTGAACATCAAAATAGGTGGCAACTGGATGTTCATCCACCCCAAAATGGAGCCATAGGTTATGCCCCATGGCCAGATAGGAAAACAACATGATTTTCAGCAGATAGACGTTTTGCAGCTGGGTGTTGCTTGAGAGGAAGGCCGGAGACATGTCCTGTGCCCACCTACCAAATGTCTAAAAATCCCCGGGGTTGGCGTTGCAGCCGGGTTTCTGATTGAAAAAGGATGGGGGAAAAGAATGGTTGGTCTTTTGCGTTGGACATCTGGTAAAGGCTCAGCCCCCGTACAAAAAAAGGCTTGCTCAATCAATTCAGTACGTAAATAACTTTCTGCGTGAACTCGCGTAATGCTTCCAATACTATCAATGACAACGAGTAACTCTCGCAGATGATAGTCACGGACAGTACAATACCCCCCCCCACAGACACAACCCAACATGTCCAAAGAAAACGTACAAAGCAGCTATGACTTATTCTTATCGTGCCAGACTCAAAATCGGAGATGCGCATAGACAACAGCTTGGGAGTTGACACGTTGAAGCTGAATGATGATTGCGCGTGGCGAGCTTGGAGTCCATCCAAGTTCGGAAGACGTGTTGGCGAATCGGCGAATCGGCAGTATCTTGGACATTCACCATGCACGGACACCTACCTCAGCTATTGAACCCAAACGACCAATGTCTTGTTTCTCAACAAGGCGGCAACCTTAGGTGGATGCCCCAAATATTGCAAGTAGGGAACAAAGGAACCCCTGTACACTCCCATGGTTTGTGGTTGGTTTGCTTGCAAGGGCATCCACCGCCCTTCACCGCCTCAGCAAGCTGCTCCTGCGCATCCAAGGCGTCCATCCAAGCGTGCCGCAGCCTGAGTCCGTTGGAACGGGGCCAGACTTACCTCCCCTGCGAAGGGTGAACTCCGTTCACTGTGCCGGTTTAAAGCGAACCATGAAAAACAAATAATAAGTGAAAGAGGCAATCCAAGTCCGGTAATGTTCACTGGCGTCTCTTGTTGCAGAGACTCTTTGAGGATTTCCTTTCGGGCTTGTGTTGGAGAAAAACCATGGGGAAAACCAGACATGGTTTGTTTGCTCTTGGGAGCGACTTGTGGGGTGCAACTTTGGGCCGGAGGCAAATGGGAAAACTTCGCATGAACCTTTTGCCAGAAACTGACAGTCCCTTGCAGCCCCCCAAGACTGAATCGAAAAGCAGTGGTGGAAGGGTTGATTTTTTCAAACGGCAGCAAACAAGAACCCCAAACAGGTGGCCCCTCCTCCTCCGCATGCAAACAAGTTGCAGAGAAGAGCAATTGCGGGGTTGGAGGGTGCGGGTCAACAACCCCTACACGGACATCACTCGGAGGCCTCTCCCTGAATTGGGTAGGCAACTTGTACCTGCCTTCAAAAATCGACGAGTGACTTATCCAACCAAACATATGCAATCCCCATGGGTTTCCGGGCGTAGTGCAACAAGTCTCGACCGGCGCAAGCGACCAGACCCCCGACCGTCAACTCCGCGACTTCCAGAAGGTTGTCGGCCAACTTGTGGAGAACACCCAAGAACACCGTTCCGCCAATGCACGGCCGTGCCATCCTTTCATGTCTGCGCAAGGGGTGCAACCTCTCCAGTTGAACTTGTAGTTGAAACTTGTCGAATTCTCCTTGTCATGCTTCCTCGCGACAATGACTTTCCCCGGGCAAGCCTTGTTTGGTGAAGCCTTGTTCGCTCTATCTCTCAAATGACTTTGAACAAAGCAACTGCTCTGATTGACAACCCTGGTGACTGTCTTGCAAACGCCTCCGAGCGCTTGCATTTTACCATTGGCTCTGGGGTTGAAAGACCCTCGGGGAAGATCAAGTCGCTAAATAGTCTATTTATAGTCAGAGACCTCCCACGACCCATTCGCAAATGTTGAAACTGTAACCCCGCATCAATCAACCTGCTGGATGTCTTGCGGGGTGTTCCTCCAAAATTTCAAGACTCGCCATCATTGCCCTGCAAAATGCAGTGCGCTCGCGCACAGAAATAAACAAGATGGTGTATCAATCTGCAAATTCACCATAATGCCAAAAGCTGAATTCAGGTCAAGGACCTTTATCATGGCTTTCGCTCGCTTGTAATTACTCCCAGGTGAGCTCGCTATAGGCAGACCAATCAACTGAACCCCCCCCCCCCAGTTTCGCTCTGGGCATGCCCGCTCCAACCACATGTCCAGCAGTGACCCTCGGGGTTTGGCGGTACAAACCGGATGGGCGTTGGCCCTTTCTAGGCCGTTTCCGGTTCCAAAAACCTCAAATTGGCCGATGTCCTTTTGGCGTCCCCAAGCTGTTACTAAAAGAAACTGTGAGTCTGACTTGCCGCAAAGAATATACCATGGTGCAATCGTTGCCAAGTTGCAGATCATCCTTCAAGCGGCGAGAGGAAGAAGGGTGACAATCAAAAGCTGGTAGTAACGGGCGCTGACCCAAGATAAGAATCAAAAGGCCCTCTTGCCGCACTGTTTTCTGGCCGTCGGACTGTCCCTTCAACTTCAGAGGCTTTGACTGCGGCATCAACTCGGCGTGCAGCAAAGGTAGGGCTGTTGGGGATGCTAAGTCAGCTTCCCACTACTGGCTGTTTGGATCAGTGTTTTGGTGGTCGCGGGGAGGTTTCCCATTAACCCCCTACAAGAACCTGGGAATCCCCAAACCACCAATCCAAACCACCAACTAGGGGGAAGCTGACTAAGCATGGGCATCTTGTGAAAGCGAGGGGCTCCGGTCCAATGCTCCTTTTGTTGTAGCTTCGCCTTCGCCCAACAAAACTAACTTAATCGGTCTTGGGAATCAATGTCTTTTTTGGGGGACCCCCCCCTCCCCTCAAAAAAAAGGTTGGTTTTCCTGTAAAAGACAAAACAACAAACAAGGTACCCTCAAAAAGCAAACCCATATAAAATTGGAACTGAGTGGACCCAGGATGACATCAGCCAAGTTGAATGGGGTGGACCCCACCCTATGTGTGGCAGGTACATTGGTAATGAGCACGTGATGGTGAGTCCGCCAACAGTTGCCGCCTCGGACCCTCGACACTCCGTTTATTCACTAGGTAGACATGGGGTTGTCATGTTTTAGGGTACCTGTTTTGTGGTTGCGTCAAAGGGGAACCAAGTTAAGTCAAAAAAACAAAGCAACATGCATGATTCAAAAGGAAGGTGTCGCACTAATGGGAATTTCTATTCACAAACGGAACCTAGCAGCCAGGCCCTGCAGAAGAGACAGCGAAATGCTCTCCCTATATATATATACTTTCTCTGAGGTTCCAGGTGGGTTTGTTTGAAGCTAGGGAAACGAGTCGCTACTCACTTCCCGGCAAAGACCACCTGAAACGAATTGCTCAGCCCTCCAAGCTGAAAGCGCTGAACATGAGTGGGTCTCTCCACCGGATATAGCCTGTGGAAAGGGCCCGCAAAAACCGCGGAAGGCCCTGTTGCTCGGCATGAGCCTTGCAGCCGGTCAAGAGGAAACAAGAGTCATACTCAAAACCTGATATCGGGGGGTATTCCCAAAATCCCGCAAAGAGCCTTGAAGACCATCTGTCCTTTTCCTCTTCTGGGGGGTTCAACGTTGTGTGGCAGGGTACTCAAACCCATGGAGCAGAATCAAGGGGAATGAGATCTGCCACGTCTTGCAGCAACCGGGAAGGAGGTCCCTGACGTCTCGACTGCCCAGCTTCGCCCGGCCTCGGGCTCCGTCTCCTTTTCTGCAGCCCCAGAAATCGGCAAAGTGCGGGGACTGCAACAGCCTCAGCTCGCGCCGACCGGTCCACCGGAAGCCGAATTCGTTGTGGCGAGACCAGGGAGACCGCAGGGTTGGCCGCCCGGCCTTGAAGTGGTTGATGTCCATCACTGACTGCGTCAGTCACTTGTAATTGGGAGCCTCCCACCCAGCATGGGGCCTCACCTGCAGTCAAGGAAATCTGTCTGACCTCCAGTCGGGCTTCATGTTGCAATGTGGATGGGGTCGGCTATGTTGGATTCGCAGAAAGTGGATCCTAAACCTAATTTCCCAGTTTTCAGGGATCCTTACATTGAACACCTGAACATTGCCTTGTAAATGGTGGTTTCCTTCTATGTTGGTGTTGAAAAAGCCATGTTTCAAATGGTTGCGACATGTATATTTTAAGGAGCCCTGTTTGTTGGGATCCAAAAGGGACCAGCACCACTCGCTTCCTGAGATGGGGCTCCTGCTCCCGCAGCATGCGGCCCGCGTCGGATGCCCACAGCCTCACCGACTTTGGAAGCGCGGGGCCACCGAGGCAAATGGGGTTGCCGTTGTTTGAGGTTCGCCTTTCAATCGGAAACTTCCCCTTTCTTGTTTGGGGGGGGGGGAAGAACCTCCCATTTTTGGGGGAAAACCTCCCATTTTTTGGCGGGTCTCCTAAAAAACATGGATGCTTTTGAGCACTTGCTTGGGCGTGGCCGTAGGCTTGGGGCCCGATGGTCTTCAAAGGCGTTCGGGCTATTGCTCCGGCCTTATCTCGTGGAAGTGGCAACGGAAAGCGACGCCCGAAAAAAAAAAAAAAAAAAAAGTTTTGGCAGTAGGGGGTCGCTATACTTCAACAAGTGCTAAATGGGCTTCCCTGACCGTACACAAGGGCCATCTGGGGAGGATCCTCAGCTTAGGCGCTACCCTCACTCCACCCCTTGAACTTGAACTTGGCGAAGCGGTGATGCATCGATTTGATACTTGCAGGGCTCTGTCAAAAAAATAACCCTTTCTGTGATACGAAAGCGGGAATCCTGCCTTCATGACGTTGGCACTCTAAACTCTCAAGGCGTCCCTTCATAACAGGGTTGCTGTCCCGTTAAACATCGGCCAACCAACAGGAATATGGGTGTGTCTTGTTTTAGGGAACCACACCCCCCAAAAAATATATTTGGCAACTTTCCTTTTGGCTTCTTTATTGAACACACAACCAAGGGGCACCCTCAAAAAAGACACATCGTATATAACTTAAACAGTTCAAACTACCCAAAGGACAACGCAGCACATCTTTCCGTCTTACTCAGGGTTTACATCCAAGGTTGTGCTCCACCCCACGCCCCCACCCGGTAGAATGAGCACTCCCCCCCCAGTTGCCCTTTGGATTTCCAGTTTACATCTGGGGTACAAACATAGATTCGAACATGTCCAGACAAATTTCACCCCACATACGTGTTGACCCCGTTCAAAGGGCACTCGTGTTCGATGGCATAGACAAACTGCGCTCAACCCACCTCTCTCAACCCCGGCCTGCCCGACACCGGTGCCTGGCCAACGGAAAAACCGCTCCCTCCGCCGGAATTGGTGGTTTGGAGGGTTTGGAGGTGAGGGGATGGTGTCCCATCTACAAGAGCCGGTTTTTCCAAATCCCGAAACCACCAAGCCAAACCTTCAGTTGGGGCTTACCTGAACAAACACCTACGGCCTTTCGTTAAAAATTACAACACATAGCCCAAGTACAGCCATTACAGGACAATCACAAGGTGGGAGTCCCTAAGCACAAAGTTGGCTGTCTTTCCTGCTTGGGGGTTCCGCAAAAGGTTGTTTAAACGATAGCCTTCTGTCTGCTCGAAAGTGTGTTATTAATTTCCCCTGCTGGATTGAAGGGAACCGATTTCACTGGAAAAAGCCGCTTTCCCAAACAAAACAAAGCAACTGGAAGCGAGTAGCCCATAGGTGGTTCCTTGCAATACAGGCAAACACTTGTAGGGGAGTAGTTCGAAGTTAAGACTGGATTCGATTCCGTTTCGCAATCACCCAGGGTTCGGAGCATGAAGGTTTCTTGGAGATCCCATTGGTTTCGGCATGTTTACCCCCAAAGCACCATGTCTTGCAACACTTGTATACCTCTTTATTGGGGGTGTCTTTGTTGCCTGATTTTGTTAGATTTTGGCCTGGCTTAGATTTCTATCACATCAGTTTTATTGCATCTGAGCTTGCTTTCACTTCGCTCCCTGCAGGTGAGTTTGGCATCATGATGGAGAAAACTCTGGATGACTCATTTGGCCTGGAGTGGAAAAACAAGTGTGCAAATGGAGCATGGTTCTAAAAGCTGTTTGTAGGCCTGTGAGGTTCTAGACAGTGCCCTTTAGAACCTTCAGAAATCTAGGACATGCATCTTTAGACCGTGTTTCAGCAAAGAAGCATCAAACAAAGAGGGCGCTAAGTGGAATGCATGACCATGCGCGCCCCTGTTTTTGGGGTTCTCAAACTCGGGGTGACCGATCCGTTCCGTGGATCGTTTTCAGGGCCGTCCTTTGAACCAAGCAGTTGAGACGCGCATTTGGCGCATTCGGCGTGTTCCGAAAAATGTCCAAACGCGAGCATGTCTTGTTGAGACTCTTGCGAAGGTCAAGTGCCCAGTGTCTCAGAGGACTGTGACATCCATTCGCGGAGCCTGCCTTTGGTTCTATTTTCTTCACGGCTGTGAAGAAGACGTCTCTCATGGGCTCATGCTGGGCTCATGCTGGGCTCCAGTGGATGTGTTGAAGCTTCAAGGCCCTTGCAGAAGTGCTGTACTTCTCTTGTTCTGGCGGCAGCATCCGGGTCAATCCAATCAGCCTGGACTCACTTCCACAGGTCTCCGCACCCTCCTTGATTTGTGCGGGGAGTATGTCTTGGCGCACAAGGGAAACAAAACAGACAGACCAAGCCTTAGGTGAGAAGCACCTGGAGAACCAACCAGAAATTGTGGACTTGGAGTCCGGTTGTCCATATGGCAGGTGTCTTAAATGTGGTTTCCATCGAAACTAACCTCAATTAAAAGGGAACCCTCCAAAGACAAAGACATCCCTACATTTAGTGAACCTGGAGAAAGCAACATGATGTCAAGTGAGAGATCCAACGACAAAACCAATCAGCATGCTAGAAACTGCGCCAACCCAAGGTACATGATGCAGGGGGCTGCTGTCGGCATCTTGGGACCCCTCCTCCACCGCGTTCAAGTGGGCTTCCCTAACCTCGGGACATTGGGCCTTATCCAGTGGTCATCGTATTCTTAATTTACATCTACATACTGTGGATAGACAAAATTCTGCAGCACCTAAGAAACCATGGCAAAACGTTGTTCGTTGGTTTTTGCAGGGGAATCGAATCATTCCAGGGATTCTTGGGTGATGCGAAATGGATTTTGTCCATCCACAGCATCCCTTCGTCCTGGTCCATTGGGGTTGAACACCCTCCATCTTGTGTGCCTCCCCAAATGTGGCTTGCCCCACGCCCACTCCTGAACCTGGAAAATGAGCCCAAGCTAAGTGACAACACCCAACCACGCACGGAACCTTCTCGCCTCCAGGGAGGCCAACATCGACTCCACGCCTTGGGCACTTGCGGCTCGAATCCGAAGGTCTGAGTGGCGATTGGGACACTGCAAAGACCAGCAGTCATGTACAAGGGTCTCAATGGTTGGAATGCTGCAAGGTTCTGGTAAACCAAAATGAGCTGGGGAAGCTGATGTTCTACCCCAGTCTACCAACATGGAACCCGGAGCAGTTTTCAGCCGTTCAGAGCTATGCTGCCTGTTCCCTTGGCTCTAATTTGGGATCCCACCCCAGAAATGGTCTTTGATTCCAGCGAAGGACCGAAGGATCCCTGGCCTCGGTGCTTCTGCGGGAACTTGGAACCCTGTCTAGCAAGTCGTTGATTGGAGGGCCTTTAGCAAGTCTCCCAAGTGTACACAGTAGTCAGGGAATTCCGGTACAAAAGCCTAGGAGATCTGACGAACATAGCTATGATGGGCGGCCAGCTCATCCAAATCAACTTCTGCATGGTGAAACGGCAGATAGGACCTTTGCTTTCGAGGGCCAACGAAAAGACGTACAGGGACGCATCCACAGACCTGCGACCGAATTCATCCAAGGGGCAACAGAATCAGGCATACACATGAATGTTCTACGATGTCCCCCCAATTTGTGTTTTGGTCAGAGGTGTTTCCCATTTTTATTCTCTACAAAAGCCAGGGGTTCAAATCCTCAAACCAATCCAAACCACCAACTCCGGGCTACCCGAAAACCTGCACTCCTGTTCTTCACTGGGCCGCGGGCTGATGAGCGGCCTGCTGCGAAGCGGCCCGAGGCCGGGGCCGCGCTCTCGAAGATCCGCCACCCCCATAGCAATCAACCAAAAAAACCGAGATCAAAGGCCGCCCCGAAGCTTCGGGCTGTGCCCAAGGGCGAACAAACCTCATTTTGCCGCCGGGGAAAAAAACACAAAGCTCCCTCCAAGAAACAGCGTCCCGGGTCTGCGAGCACCAGCCAGCTCTTGCTCCCAACCGCGCTGCATGGTGGCGATTTTTCCCCCAACATTCTCCCAAAAGGCCTCCAGGTGATGTTTAAAACCAGCAAAGCGGGAACACTTTAGACAAGCAACCCGTGTGCAAACAGCGCTCTCTTGGAAATTGAGGGAATTCAGAACTGTGGGCATGGCTAACTTTGATGATCAGGAGTCCTTTATGCCCCCCTCCTCAGGCGATCCGTGCCATCAAAAAGAGGAATCAGCTTCGGGTGCTTCTTCCCCAAGAGAGTGGTTGTAACATGGTCCCTGGGTCCCCTGCGTCGCCGTTCCGTCCATGACGTCGCAAATGGCCAGCAGGAGAACTGGCAGCCTGACCCACACAACTCACACATGAGTCATAATCAAAACCTGTACTAAAACGGTCCAGCCAGAACCATGTAAAGAATTGAGAAGGTGGCCGCAGCTATTTGTGGTTGGGATTGTCCCTTACTAACCTAAATCTACCCAGGTTTTGATTGTGGCTCACATGAAGAGCAAAAGGTGCCTTTGGGTTATTCTAAATTGAAGGGTATCCCTGCAAACGGCACACTTTTCCACCAAGTCACAGAAAAGGCGACTGAATATTCCAGAATCAGTGGGCTCCCTAAAGATGCAAGCTGAGTTTGCATGTGGTTGGCCTTCGTACAACATTTAGAGCATCAACCGTACCTGTGGCCACAAACAAACCTATAGTAGCGTTGCATCAATCAAATGCAGCGAAGAACAAGTTGGAAGCTTCGTGGCCCCGACAAGTGGGTCAACTTGTTGATGGTTAGTGTTCCAAGCAAAATAGGAAGGTTAGAACTACAATGCAACCGAGTTGGCCTTTCCAAAAAACACTATGACCATGATCCAATGGTAGACCGCTCATGCATGGTTTTCCACGTGTTCCCTGCGACCACGCAGCCATTTCCCTGGAAAATGCAGGGGAAGCGTATTTCCCATTCTCCAAGTCGCACCCGCAGTGGATCCAGTTGGTATCCTCCCAAAATGAAAGACAGAGCCTGGAAGACCATGGCCCTTGTACGGGGATCTATGGAGGGTAATTTTGCTAAAGGATGTTAAAGGACAACAGCCGGCTTCTGACTTTAACATGGCTGTTCAAAATGTAATCCGTAATCTACCATCTGGCAAAAGGATTCAGGCTTGATTTTGAGCAACCCAGATTGACAACCATCGGCACGACCCCGACTCAGAAGTGACTTGACGAAAAAGCCCAGCGCCCTGTGACTCCGGAGGCTAGGGCTCCAGCAATGCGCCCAAGACTTCCTTTCCAGCGGAGATGACCTTTGCCAGCCTCAGCCAAATGCCCAGGTCAACCCTTCCATCCTTAGGCCGGCTCTCAAATGGAGACTTACTAAAGGAATGGCAACTGAAAAACTCACATGGCTGTGGGTCAAAACCAATATAGTACCATTTTGGGGTAAGTGCACCACCCATTTTTGTCTATTTTAGTGGGGAATTAGGATGTTCACTGGGGGTGCGGGCTTTTGACCCATGGCCACATGAAACAGGGCACCCCCAAAAACGGCTGGACCACATGTGTGTGGCGTCCTTCTGATTTCCCTTTAAGCCAACCCGAGAACGGGTTCCTGCAAAAAAAGAGCGAGCCCACGTCTGAGCCATCCACGGGGAAATTCGTCGGCACCCTCTCTACGGCCCATCTCAAACGCTCGGTATGGGGCCTAAGGTGGCCGGAAAAGAGAAAACCATACTTTTCTTCACCCAAGCAAGAAACAAAACACGCAAAACACATGTCTTCTCCCCAAGGGAGGAAGAAACTAAAGCAGGGCCCGCCAAACAAACCTATACAAACCACAGCGAGTCCAGGTACACTTCAAGAACAGTTCTTTCAGGGATTGAACAAAGAATTGGCGCTCCTTTTTGGCGGTTGGTTATAAAACCAATTTATAGAAAGGAACGCCCTTACCCCAACAGAAAAAAAGAGAAACACACAGCCCACGCGTCTTAGCTCCCTGATGGCACTTTCTTGCCGAGTGGCTGAACCGCGCAGTCCCGTGAGGAGCCCGCGAGGCGGCCTGACTGTGGGTCAAAGATTGCTCAAAGGCATTTGGGTGCGTCTGTATTGAAGCAGGTGCCCCCAAAATGGGTGGTTTTCTAAGCTGCCCCCCAAAAAAGCGCTACACACCACAGCGTGGCGAATCTCCCCTTAAGAAAACCACAGGGGTGGGATGGATGTTTTACTGTTGACCCCAGATTAATCAACCCAGTTTATTCATAGGGGGGTGCAGGGGCCAAAAGCGGTCTGATTCCCCACCAAACCCAGGGACACCCCCTACAAAATGAACTGGGATTGATTCCGCAGGTAAGCAACCGGGGGTTTCATAACCCGGGTTCCCATCAACCCGCATACCAACAAGGACACCCTGTCGAAGCCAAACAAGGCCAGGCAAAATCATGATCCTGTCTGAACGGCACGGGTCTGGGGCGTCAATTGCAATCCCGGGCAATCCGTATAGTAGCGACGTCCCGACCATACCATCCCAATTTGGCTTTTCAACGGGGCTCCCAGGTTTACAGCCAAGAAAGGGGGGTCCTTTTCCTTGGTGGGTCTTTTACCCCACTCACACAGTGACATTGAAGAAACAAACTTCACCAAACGTGCAGATGTTACAGGTTCGGCCAAACCAAAGAGCAACCACGTTCTTTGCACCCTGAACTGGGGCGAGTCTAAGATGAGACATGGAACTCCGTGAACAAAAAGTTGGCCGCGAGCCAAACACCTTTGAGAGGAACACCTCTAAGCATCATCTCATTTGGACACTGGCTGAGACACATATCACCATGGGGCATAACCTATGGTTCCTTTTTGGGGTGGATGAACATCCATTTGCCACATATGTTGATGTTCGCCAGGGGTACAGGGTCTGGACCCACAGCCATATGGCCGGAGGCAAAAAGCTGCAACCCCAGGCTTTTGTACGGTGGACCCCTTGGATTTGCCCCATCCACAGTCAACATAAAGCACCAAAGCAGTGGACGACTCTTTGTCTTTTGAGGTGGGTGTGAGAATTAGTGAGTCCACTGGTTTGTGAGTTACCCATGGCCATGCAAGCTGCTGCTTGGTGACCTCTCAAGCAACCAGGCAACTCTGCCGACGTGACCGGGCCGGTCGCCAAAGGCAAGTGGCAAACACGGAAATGGACTCTGAACTGGGGCAGCCGGCTCGAGAGCTCGTCCAGGCGCTCGCACAGGAAGGCCTCGCGAGGTACAAATCTCTGCCACCCTAGCGGGCGTGGCGTCCTCTGCTTGAGGCGCGGGACCCGTTCTGGGGTTGGTGTATCATACAGGGGAACCAGAAGGAAACCGCCACAATTTGTGCGGTACCCCTTGACACGTAGCTGCATGAGCTCTCGGTTTGGGAAGTGAAAATAGAAGAACCAGGGGCACTCCAGATTTCGGAAGAACAGTTTCCACTTGGGAGCTTCTATGGGGGCGGTCGATCTGTCAAGGTCCTGTGCAAAAAAAAAGCATGAAACCCGCCAAATGTGTCTTGAGTTTTGGACAAGAAACTTTGGAGAGTGGCAAACCTCTCTCAAAAGGCCGATTTACTTGCTGGTGCGATAAATAGGGAATGAGGGAATGAACCCATTGGTCCCCTTAAAGCAAACCACAAGGGATGGTTTTTAAGGGCCATTCCATTTCTCATTCCCAGGGACAGGTTTCATCTACGAGGACAGCCTATCATCAGCTTCCCTCAAAAAGGGTGGCTTGGAGCCCAGTGGTTTGGCGGTGTTCCGGGAGGGTTTCCCATTTACCCACAAGAATCGGGGGAAAATTCACATCCAAACCACCAATTCAAGCCTCAAAGTAAGGGCTTGAATAGAAAAGGCCAACCTTCTTCAATCCAAACCACCAGTTCGGGGTTACCTGATATCAATCCGCCAGGATCAACATGTCCCGCCACTGAACCCCTCCCCTCGCCCCGGCCAGCAAGGCGAAGAAGGGCGGATCCCCGAAGACCTGGCGATCCAACTCTTCAAAGAGGACAGGGTCAGCCTTTCAGTGGGTCATATGGTCAGTTCTTTCCTTACTCATAGAAACCAACAGCAAACTCTGCCAAGCATGGGCTGCGCCATCATGTACCCAGGAGTTTTGATTTACGGAACAGCGGCCAACAGTTTGTCCGGCTAATGGTTGCATAAGGTGAGGGAGCAGCCATGACAACAAACAAGAGAAAGGACAGATTCTCTACGTTGAGCTCACATGGGTTGTCTTTAACAGAGGGACTCCCCAAAACGATCCATTGCCTGGCGCTCAACAACAGACCCACGGGCGCACATGGGTTTGTTAAACCATAGCATCATTGTCCTGGATGCAGTCCTAGATCCACGCAGTCTGAAAAGGCAGCCCATCACGCGACCCCAAGACCCTCTTCTACAATTGAGTCGTCGGCGCGAACCCTCATCCATGTTCGACTATGAGGGCCCTGCCACGATCACCGCTATCTGGAGTTTTAGATATCTGGGTTCCTGCATGCCCCCATGTATATATGTATATATAATATACATACCTGTACACCTATACACATATAGATCAAAACAAAAACGCGTTGCATACATGTGTGTGTATATGATATATATGTATATATAAAATGCATTTTAATGCGCAATGTGTATCTCAGGCGTGTGGCGCACACTAGGCACGGCTTTCGTGAACCCAGCAGCCCGGCCGGCCTCAGGGCGCATCAGCAGCTGCTGGTAGAAGCCCACCCGCTTCGGCAGCTCGGAGGCCTGTGACTCACTCGCTGAGGCTCGGTTCCCTACGCGTCCTCCACGGGTGGCTTTACACATGGCCGTGGTCGTCAAAACCGTCAACGGGATCCCATGTTGGTTGGTAGGTGAATTCGCCACCCAGTTTGGAACCTATTTTGGTGGGGATTGAATTGGGAGGTTCACTGGGGTTACGGGCTTTTGACCCATGGCCACACATCAGTTGTTGGGCCAACTTAAACTTGCTGGTGCTGAGCAGGGAATGAGAAATGGAATGACACTTCTTAACCGTCCCTTGTGTGTGGTTTGCTATAAGGGGACCCCAGGGTTCATTCCCTCATTCCCTGCTGAACACCACCAATTTTTGGGCCAACTTAAAGTGAGATTATTTTTGGGGTGATGCTTTAAGGGGACATAACTAGAGGGAGCCCTGTGCACAGGCCTTACAGAACTGGTCTTGGCTCCCTTCCGACCAGCTAGTTCCGCAGGGGTGCGTTGAAGTATCCTGTTGCAGGTCGGTTTAGAGCAACGCCATAGCCCACATTGCCAACCTACATTCATCACCAAAGGAAGCTTACATGTTCAACTGGCCCAAACATGTTTGAAGCTGTCGCAAAAGGGGAGCTATAGGAAACAGTGTTATATCTATCCAATTCACAATCAAGTGACGAAAAGGAACTTTCGTGATGAATGTCGCGAACATTATGTGCTTTGTTTTGTGGAACTCCTTGCGAGATGCCTGCTTTGGTGATGTGTCTTGAGGGCAACAAAAAGGAAGTCCATTCTAGGTAGGGGTCCCTCAGCCCAAAGATTCTGTTTGGTACATTTTCTGGCTTTTTGGCGAGGGGTTGAAGGCATCCGCCACAAACAAAACTGGAGTAGATGTTGACCCCTGGTTAATACACTTGTCACCAGTCGGATTAATCGATGGGTGCGGAAGCCAGACAGACCAGGCCCGACCGGATGTGGACCTCCGGCTTCTCCATTTCCCTTTTTCTTGTTGGGGGTCCCGAGCTGTCGGGGTGAAACCTCCGAGCCGTTGAAAAACCATCAAGCCGTGTCGCACGGTCGACGGCGGTTTCCTTCAAGGTTTAGCTTCGGGGACCCTTCGGTCCTACCAAACGCAAGCGGTATGCGCAAAATGAGCAAAGCAAGTCTAAGTTCAATCAACGTACATGTTGTTTATTTTGTTCAAGGACACCAGTTCCGCAAAGGGCATCCATCCCAACTGCGTGGATTTTGTCCATCCACCGTAATTCGGCACAGCTGGTTTCTTGATGAACTCACTCACGGCTTATATACTTGTGGACATAAGGTATATTTTTCTGAAAATGGGGGGGTGTCTTTTTTTTGAGGTAACCGCAAGGGCAACCAAACTTCCCATCTTGTTGTGCTTAGTTTGTTGTTTTCTTTTGTTGGGGGGGGGTCCCCTAAAAAGAGACACACCCTCATGGGAAAAAAAGCACAAGGGACCCCCGGGTCGAGTCCTGTCCACCACCCCGGCCTTGCTAGGGGCCAGCCGTAGCCAAGGCCTCGAGAAGACTGGGGACAGGTTGGGCCGGCCGTCAGGGGTTGGTTGAATCGAGACGAGTGGAGCCCCTCAAAGCTACAAACTGTTGCTGGTTGAGGGGTAAAATGATGGAACCCAAGAAGGCGAACAGGGAAAGGCAAGCCTTTTGGCGTGGCGATGAAGTCACGTTTAAATGGGCATGGGTCAAACTTCAACCCCAAGAAATTCAACCGATTTCGTCCTCCATTTATCAGCACAACCCACTTTGGGCACCTAGTTTTTGACCCACACCCATTGAGTCGCACCGGAAGTAAAAAAGACCCCAGGGTGCGCGGCTCAGCTTTTTGCCGAGATCCATGTTCCAACCAAAAGCCTTCCTCAGCTTCAAGTCTGGGGTTCGCAATTCCAGTGTTTGGAGGGCCAGAAGGAAGCCACTCAATTTCGGGGGGGGTGGTCCTACTGTGGGTGGCCGAAATCCTGCGCCACTTGGACACCATGGAAAACCATTGTTTGGTGGTATTTACAGAAGAGTCATCCTTCCAGGGTTTCTTAGGTGGTGCAGGATTTTGTCCACCCATAGGATGAAAAAAAAATTCTCATGCGCAAGGTGCGGAAACCAGATATCTTTGCGAGGTCGCGGCTCAATCACTCAAGTTGCCAAAGCATAAGGCACCTTAGCTTCATTTGAGGGCTGCCACTTCCCCTCTCGGTTCGCCCTCGTCTTCTCCACGTTCAAGGTTTCTCTTTTTGGGGCAGGGTGCCATCGCCAAGCTGCTGGTCATCGGCCACTCACTTGACGCACTTCATCCCGCGCCTGACGTCGGCACACAACAGCTCCTCCGGCTCCAAATCCGCCTGCAGGTCAGTCGCTGGCTGAAGGCAGCTGACGGGAAAGGGCCCCGGCCCGCCTTTGGACAGCGGAACCCGCTTAAAAACAAAAAAAAACGCATCTAACGGCGCCCTGGGAAGTTTTCATGGATGGTCAGTGAGGGAGCCTTCACATATTATGGGTGGCCCATATTTACGGACCCCCCGACAAAAAAAAGTGGTTTTCCTGTTGGCTTCCCTTTAAAGCCACAACCCTCAAAGAAGGACAAACCCATATTGCCACATGGCCATGGGGTCAAACCCCGTACCACCAGTGAACATCCCAATCCCCACTAAAATAGGTTCTAACATGGGTGGCGAACTCACCTATCCCAAAATGGGATCCCAAAGCGGTTTTGATCCACATCCATGGCTGTGGGTCAAAACCCTGTACCCTGGTGAACATCAAAATAGGTGGTACATGGGTGTTCATCCGCCCCAACATAGAGGCATAGGTTATGACCCATGGCCATATTGCCACCTCAAAACACTCCGGTTCAGAGGCTCGCTCTACGCGAAAAGCGGCCCTTAGGCACGCCCCCCGAAGAAGAAAACGCCGAGAGTTCGGCGGAAAATTGAGCCCCCGAACCTGGCACTAGCCTTCGCCTAGAACTTTTTGGGTCCTCCAGTGGAGACTCGGTTGCTTTCTGCTCCCCTGTTAAAAGTTTAACTTTAGTGGTTTAGTGGAAAACCCATTAGATGGCAAAAAGTTAAAGTCCTAACAGCCAAGCAAAATGCACCAAAGGAGAGGTTAGAATAAGTTGGTACCAACCTTGTTCTGTATATTTCTTTTTTGTAGGGGAACCCTCCCCCTAAAAAAGAAACGGCAAAAGGGCACTGGGGGACCTAGAGATTAACATAGACCCTCCCAAACGCATACTGCGGCTGGACGAATACCGGCAACCAAATGGCTCTGCATGGTTTCACAGTGGTGCAGGAGTTCGTCCACCCACAGCAGTTCTGGTGGTGTGTCGTTTCTTGAGGGCAGCTGTTGTTTGTAGTTTTCAAAGTGAAACCAACCAGAAAACACAGATTTGGGGAGGTCCAGCAAAATCGACACACCCATACTGTAATTTCGGGCCAAGTCTCCTTTTGAGGGCCCTGTTTGGGGCCATGTTCCTCTGTGGAGGTGTCAAAGGAATCCTCCGAAATCCCTGCCCCGAAACATGGCCGCGCCTCCACCTGCACTACACCAGCCCGCTGCAGCCTCGGGTGCCACACATGACAAGAGCAAATGGCAGTCGAACGATTCACCGACCAAAAATCCTGAAAACGCTGTGGACTGGTTGCATGTTATCTGCAGTCCCCCAACTCAAGCCAATTTTTCAGCGCGCTCCCACACACTGCACGAAAGGTAATGCCGACCCCGGATGAATCAACCCTGGCGGTTTAGCAGCGTGTTTGTCCGAGTGCAGGATTTTCTCACTCGTGTCGGCAACCGTGATTGATGAATGAGTGTCTTAATCCTGGATCAACTTCACTCTCAGGGAACAACTAAACCAACCTCACAAGCGGGAAGGTAGATCTGCATCAACTCGCACCAACTGGAAACGAGATTTCACATTGCAAGCAGGGGCAACTCAAGATGTGCGAGCGCGATTTGCCGGGAACTCGTTTGCAAGAGCTTTGGCTAGGTGGGTGCCTCTTTTTTTCAGGGTAATTACCCATGTTTCCGTGGTTTTAGAGGAAAACCGAAAGGAACACCACCAGTTTTGGGGTCCCCCCAACGTCGTGAAGGTAACACGCCGGGCTTCCCTTCTTCCCTCTCCGGCAGCGGAGCGGTCTAGAACATCGGTGGTGCTAAGGCGGTTTCCTGGGCCAAATGTTGGGATGACGACCCATTCGTCGCCGTGAATTTCAAGAAACGCCTTGATGGACATCAACATTTCGCAGGGATTCATGTCCAACCGCTTTGGAGGTGGTTCCCCAGTAAAAGTCACAGCCATGTTTATCAGTGCGGTTGCTTCGCTTGTTTTGGCTGGGTGTGGCCATGACAACAAGAATCACACCCGGTTTGCTGGCTATCACAGCGAACCCTCCCCCCCGAAAGGAAACAACGCCGCTTCCCCCGCAGCAAAAGACGGAGGCCACTGGCCTGGGTAAACGTCCGGAGCTTTCCTGTCAGGCGAGCTGGGTTCTCCCGGCATGCCAGAGAGGCCAGGAAGCCCGACCTGGGCGTCTTTTAGGCCACATGGTCGGTTGAGGAGGGGAGGATTTTCTGTTTCGCTTTTTTTTTTTTGCGTGTGTGTGTTATTTGGGGAGGGGGGGGGAGGGGTTGATAGGGGCCCTTGGGAGTCGCATTTTGGCATTATTTTGCCAGAACAAAGACACTTGACAAACTGGCCCCTTCATATGGAGATCAAAAGTGACCACTTGGTGAAACCTCGCCTACGGACTGGAAAGCCAAAAGATCGAACAAGGAGCACATCCTCAAAATACACCTCTTGATGGCAGACTAAACAAACAAACAAGACGAACATGAATGTGTGTTAACGAAAACGTGGATGCGCAATTGATCCGAAGGATGCTTGAAGCCCCTCCTTTGCATGGCGTTGTGGGTCCAAAGTCGCCTCTTTTTCTCCAGTGAAGAGGTCCAATCTCGGACCTCAAGTTGTTATGGAAAAGAGACTTTGGTAGTTGACAAGGCCAATTTCCCCTCACCCCACCTGAATCAAGCGTGATAGTTAAACCAAGAAGGGGAATTTTCGCTGAAGCCAGCCCCGAGGTTGACACTAGGATGGGAGGTTTCCTTACGGAACTTGAATGAGACACCCCAGGTCTTTGGGTTTAGGGCTTGGGGACCGTTCAACCGCGGCAGGTTTCCTCTGCGATTCCCAAAACACTGGCTAATTCCAGATCGGATTGGTAAGTCTACACTTTTTGGCTGCCACCAAAACTCTAGTGCTACCTTCCCCATTCTAGCCAGGGATCGTTATTGAAAAGAACGGTGGTTGAAAATAATGGACAAGGAATCAACCCTTAGACCAATGGTTTCCTCATGCCCAAAACACTGGCTAATTCCAGATTGGATTGGCAATAAACAAAGTCCAAACCTTTTGGCCACCACCAAAAAGGTCCAACCCCAAAAAAGTGACTGAAGTTCTAGAAAATGACTCCCCATTCTTTTCAACCATCGTTCTTTCCGAAAACCAGCCGGTTCCCTGGGAGCTTTGATGGTTTTCTGAAAAAAATCGGATCCCTTGAAAGAACGGACATGGAATTCGAAGTTACCCCTCGACACATGAGGCTTTTCGGAGTTGGCACTCGGTTTTTTTGGGTGCGTCCTTTAAAGGAAGCCCGAAAGAACGGACATGGAAGCTACCCTTCGAACAGATCCCTGGAACCTCCGCCAGGGCCGCCCTGCCGAGCAGTCCACCGTCCTGGGATCGATCCGGTGTGGACTGCCCCCCATGAGCTTCCCGTAAAACCGAACCAAAAAAAAAAACAAAGGCGCAGGCGTGGAACCCACAAAAAAAACAAACAAAAAAGCACAAAGTTGTTGGTAGAGGTGCGTTTACGAAACTGGGCTGGCCGTTTTCGGATCCCCTGCCGAAAGTGGAAGACTTGGAGCGGGTTAAATGGACATCCCAAAAGCGAAAGATCTAAGGGGATGGCTGGGAACCACCAAGAAAAGAGTCCAAAAGCACAGGCCACATGTTGTTGAGACAAATCAGAGAGTCACCCAAAGTGTGAGCCCCCCATGTCCCTCCTAGGTTGACCTTCGGCTATTGGCTGGGACAACCGGGGGGGGGGGGTCAAACCTCTTTATCCAAAGGAGTGTAACGTTGCGCTACTGACCTTATTCAGGGCACTTACTGGGCCATCGATGAGTTCTGCGTCCAAACTATGATCTCCAGGGTATCCAGGATGAACAGCGCCCTTGCTACAGTATCCAACCCACTGTGGACACTGGCCCCTTGTGACAACATAAAGAGTCCAAGCACCCGGCTTCTTTTGCAATCAACAAACTTTTTTGAGGGTGGCCTCTTCGGGTTGGCTTTGGTGAAGACTCCTCTAGCTTGAGACAAACGCATGGAGTGTTTTGGGGAAACCTCTAACGTGCTTAGGATCAGGAGTGTGCCCTGGGAGAATGATATGCTCGTAAGATCTGTGGGGCCTTATCTTCCCTCTTCGCAGTATGTATCGGACTGCTTGTGTTGGTTTTCGAACAAAAACTGGGGGTGGGTGGGCGCGAACAAAAGACAAACAAAACAAGGGACCCCCCAAACCACCCCAGAAAGCGTCAAACAAAAAAACAACAACACAGGCGCCGTTCGCGCAGCTTGCCTGCTGCGACTCCGGGGACTTCCTTGAACTGTTCCTCCAGATCATCTCTAACAGAAGAAAGCAAACATGGGTGTGGGCCAACTTCTGGTTTAAAACAACCGCTGTTTGAACCCAACCTTGCCCACAAAGAGATGCAGGGAGAGCAACTGGCCGGCAACCGGAGTGTTAAATGGCCATTTTGTGTACACCACATCCCTTGGCTGCTCGTTCCAATGGGAATAAGCTTCTTTAACTGAACTGCCTGGCCCCGGAAAATGTAAAAAAAGCACCAAACAAAAACAAGGAAACACCGGGTCACCGCACGGGGGCGCGCAGCCTTCCTTCTGGTGCGCCTCCTGGCATGCCGTGCCTTGTTTCTAGGGGCATTTCCAGGTGGCCAAATCGGTTAGCCCCCAGTGAACATCCGATTCACTCCAACCGCTAAAATAGGTTCTAAAATGGGTGAATTCACCTACCAACCAAAATGGGATCCCATTGGTTTTGACCAAAGCTATATGCTGCCTTGTGAGCTGATATCGGTAGTACAGCATCCTTTCCTCCAAAAACCATACCTGGGAATGCCCTTGATTGCTGGCGTGAGTGCAGTTGACGTAGTACTTATATAATATATTGAAAAACAAGTTCATCGGCGTGACGTGGATATCATTGTTTAACTGCATCTGCATACATAAACCATGTTGTCGACTTTGCGTGATTTTTTCGGTGAAACCGGGGGGGGGGGGGGCCTTTTGCTCGGCGTGGTTGAGTACCTCCAAAGAAAAGAACAAGGACACTGGCAAGCCAATGCGCTGCGGGTTTGTCTCAAAATGAGCGGATTCCACGAATGTTACCCTCGTGAACACGGACGGACGCTTTGGGACCTTCCCAAAAGGGAAAGTGCTTGTCTTCCAAAACCCTCTGTTGGGCTCTTCCAACTCAAGAAACAAATGCCCATATGGCTGTGTGCCCCTTTTTCGTGGCTTTGAAGTGAAACCAAAGGGAAGACACCCATGTTTGGGGTCCCCTATAAAAGGACATAGGCATATCACATGTTGGCGAGAACGAGTCCAGCTTGTGTTAGATTGAAGTCCACCAATTTGGGGTTGATACACGATGAGGGGCTTGCTTTTCCAAATTGAAAGGGCATGGGCAAATTTAGTGAGTGCCCTGGTTTTCGTCGGACGTTGAGAACAATAGTCTCCGAGCATCCCTCCCAAATGCACCATAGACTGCCGATGTTTTGACCAAGCATTTCCCGAGTCAATGATTTCAAACAAAAAATGGTTGCTAATTCTGTCTTCCAAGAAAAGCACGTGAGGTTCACTTGGCAACACTGATACAGTAATTCAACCTGGCAGGAACTCAAGCACAATTCGCCTGGGTGGGTGGCACATTAAACTTGTCACAGCCACGAACAGGATTTTGTTTTGGACCAGCACAGGCTGCGCTGCCTAGGGCCGATGCCTTCAATGCCTCCTTCAAAGGTTCTGGGAAGCGTCACTGACTGCAGAACTCCGATTCCTGCCCAGGGCCTCAACCTGACGTTGATGTTGCTTCCCGAATGCAAGACTCCTGCCCTGCGAAGCATGGCAGGAGGCATTCCTCCATTTGCCTAAGGCCCCCGGAAAAAGAAACACGTCCAGTCCAGTGACATTGCTTCCCTTACAATCAAAATAGTCGAGAACAAAACGTCTTCTTCACTGGGCTGTCCTCAGATCCCCCGCTAAAAGTTTAACCTGTAGTGGGTGAAATGCAAATCCCCACTCAACACTAAAAGGCAAAAAAGCTAAGGAACCGGATGGCTGGGAGCCACCAAGTGAAGCAAGCACCTGTGTTTTTTTCTCTATAATCTATTTTAGTAGGGGCACCCTCCACCAAAAAAGTAACGGTCAAAGGGCACCACTGTGGGACCTAAAATCCATCTCCGCCAGCCCGTCGCTTTTGGCCTCGTAGCGACACACCGCGCCTCGGGAGTGGGATGCAAAATTGCGTGCCACCCGACTGGGCCTGTCCAGCTCCCAAATGGTTTTGGGCGTGGCAAATCTGTGAATCCCCTCCTGTAGAATACTAAAGAGTACTAAAACACGTTTTTCAAGAAAGGACCAAGAGGGGGAAGAACACGTGAAATCCGCCAGCGACTGTCTTTGAGGCTGGCAGCTTATATGGAATAGCCACCTAAATGGGAAAAGACAACCGACAATCAGCCTGCTTCACCACGGACGGAAGTCCCCCTGATTTGTATGGGCATGGGCAATTTGGTGCCATGTGCCTCCCAAATCGGTCATATGCGACAAGAGAACATGCAACTCTTTGCGAGAGTATCCTTGCGTTTGCCAAAGGAAATCATCTTCACCGATCATCAGCAATTCTGTCAAAACACAAAGTTTGTAGCGCGACCTCGCAACAACCTGCCATGTTCACTTCGCTGGTCACGCAAACATTTAACTGGTGGGCCTCGACAAACACAAACAACATGCCAACACAAAGGTAAGTTTGTCAATCCACAAATAAAAGGAGGTGCAAAGAGCAAACGCACAGAATTGCTTGAACAAGACTGATTTGGACCGCTACGATGCTCGTCCTTTCGGGTTTCCTTTCAGACCGAAAAAGGGGTTCACGTGGGTTTCTGGTTGTCTGACCTGTGTGTTCAACTGGGTTCTTCCCCTAAGCCGACGCTCCGTTTCGTGGGGATTCCTTAGCCTGAAAACGCAGCCGTGAACAGGAAAAACAGGGTCGATCATAGGTGGAACGGTGGAACTAGTGGGAGCCATCCAACTGACCTGAACAGACACCTACAAACATGGGTGGCCTTTGGAAAATAGATGGCCCCGTTGGATTGTGAAACAACCAGGCCAACCAGGAACCGCCATCTGTGTGCTACTAAACGACAAGAAGGACACCACCTATGAGTACCAATGGGTCATGCGGTTCCGTCAATCATGACAACAGTGGGTCCTTACTCCCAGGACTATCCCTACCCCAAAACCGCCCTCTTGACGCAAAGACATGTCCTACCTCACAGTATCAAACAGTTTTGCATGAAAACCCCGATTCCGGGTTGTTGACACTGAACACCAGAATCCATCGGACAACAAAGCGGACTCATCCTGGAAACCTACCAACACCTATTCAAAATGGAGTTGTCTTTTTTATGCAAGCCCACCCCTAACAAAAAGGTTCGATATCCTTTGGGTTTTCCTGCTCGTCTTCAAACAAGACACGCAATGATGTCGTTTGCCAGCCATTTAGCAAAGAAAACAACTCACTTGGGTATATGTCAGGTAGGGGTACCCGGAAAAATCCTTTGGCCGTTCGTTTAAAACCACCCCAAAACAGGTTCCCTCAAAAACAAGCATACCCTCCCACCAATCAACATGGAACCTGACTTTCGGGACCCGGCCCCTGTAAAAGGAACATGGTCCAAGCCAGGACCCCCTTGTACCCAACGTCAGGTTCCAAGTTAATTGGTGGGATGGTGCCCAAATGTTGTCTTTTTCAAGGTACCTGGTTTTGGTGGCGTCCGTTTGGTTTCCGTTAAACACAACCGCCAAAAGGGCACCCTCCCAACAACAAACAACCCGATGGCATGTCTTTTCCTCTTTGAGGGTACCCTTGTTGGGGTGGCTAAGCTTGCTGGTGCTGAGAGAATGAAGGAATGGCCCCTACAAACCATCCATCCTGCTTTCCTTTGAGGGGACACCTGGGTTCATGGCGGCGGTGTTTTTTTAATTGTTTAAGGTTGGCTATTGCTTCGGGTTGGCTCTTCTTTACGATAGGCCTGCCCTTGACAGAACCCTTGATCTGGGATCTGCTAATCTCAAAAAATCCAAACACCAACAAAGATTGTCGGGGTTCGAGAGCCCAATGGTGAACTGATCCAAGGGTCCAATGGTCCAACCCATCCCAGGCTTGGCAACCAGCCAAGTTTAACCCGGAAAGACCCTTTCGACCCTTTAGACTTTAGACCGTGTAGGCCTTTAGATCCTCTAGACCTGAAATTCCCCTTCCCTTTAGACCCTGGTTTGCCTTTCGACTCTTAGACCCTGCCGAGGCCTGTTTGGCCGGAGCCGCCGCCCGTTGGCTGCTGTTTGGCGTCTTATGCGGGGGAAGTTCACTGTCTAATTGAAGGGATGGTTGGGCGAGCTTTTCGTTGGGTTGCGGGTGCCCTGCGAAGCCTCACTCCCTAGAGCCTTGCACCAGTCCACTGACGCAAAGAGAATCCTGGCTTCTCGGACCGTGACCCTCGTGCCTTTCGGATCCTTGGACCCTTGTACCCCTGCGCACCCTGGGACTCTTGCACCATTCGGACCTTTGCGCCTTTCACCATTGGACTCTTATACCTTTTCGGATCCTTGGGCCGTCGTTGTTTTGTGGACCTTTGAGCTATTGTAGCAGTCAGAACTTTCTGGACCCTTCGCACCATGTGGACCCTGGTGCATTTCGGACTATTGGGCCCTTCCATTGCGGACGTCTTTCGGACATTGGAATCCTTGTACGCCTGCGGACCCTTGGACTCTTGGACCATTGTGTCTGGTTGACCCTGGGGACTTTTGGACCCTTGGGACTGTTGTACCCTTCGAACCCTTGGACCCTTCGGACTATTGGATGGACCCTTGCACTCGGAGCCGAAGCCGATCGGTCGGAGCCAGCCCTAAGCAATTAAAAACCACGGGCTCCTGGGTTCATTCTAGTTTTCATTCCCTGCCTATAGGACCTATCGGACCAGCAAGTAAGGAAAGCCACAAGCAAAACCACTCGAGCCAGAGTCATTTACACATCGACAACATTTGGAAGCACAAAAATAACATGCCTTTCTCAGACCGCGGAGTTGGCCTCACAGATGCAACCGAGTCTTATAAGCAAAACGGCTCCAATCATATGCACGACCATCATAGCCTTTTTGCCGCGAAGTGAGCGAAAAGATCGCGGCAACCAGGGGAGCTATTTCATTTCACAATTTCGATTCATAACTTTTTTTCATTACTTATACTAAAAAGAAAGGTTTCGGCCCGGTGCCTTCGGGGTGCCTTCGAAGCATGGCGCCGGGGCCTTCGGGGCTTCTGGAGGCCAGGCCCCCCGGCGCCAGGCGCTGGCGCAGGCCGCGTCCTCTGGCTCCTCGCCTGCGTCGCGTGGGATGCCTACGATGCCCACCCGCAACCCCCAAAAAGACGAACAGGTGGAACCTTTTGCTCGCTTGCTCTCTGGAAATTCCCCTGCTAAAAGTGATTTTCGAACGACTTTTAGTGGTTTAATGGAAAAACACACAAACTATGGATGGACGAACTCCATGTCGCACCACTTTGAAACCATAGGACACCATTGTTGCTTGGGTTTCACCAGCGAAACATAATTTCCAGGGTATTTCTCGGGTGGTGCGAATTGGATTTCCTCCATCCGCAGAACAGGTGGAACTGGTGGCTTGGGATCCATTCATTCACGCCCGGCCGAAACAGCCACCGATTCACGCACCCGGATCCCCAAGTAAAACCTTGAGATCGGGTCCCACTGGATGGTGAAGCATCCGAGACTGTGGAATCCATCTTGGCTGCAAATTGCTCTTAATGACTTCGGCTCTCATGCCTGTGGAATTCTCCAAAGTTGGAATTCAGTCCTCCCAATGTTTGGGGGCGAAAAAACAACGACGCGCGCCAAGCACGTGGTTTTCCCATTAAACCAACCCACAAAGGGCGGGCGCAACAAGAACATACTCGTATAAGCCACGGTTTAAATGGGTGAAGCTTTCGGGTTTTTTTCGCGCTCGGCCTCCATGTCCCGCCCAAATGGGTGCGTCTTTTGCTGGGGACCCTCCAAAATGGCGGTGTTCACAAACAAGGAGTGCACTCCAAAAAATATCACACCCAAATAGACCATAAACAACTGTACATTTCAACTGGTGAAAGTCATGGCGAATGCGAAGCAATGGTTCTCCTCCTGCCTTTCTCAGGGAAGGCATCCCCAAAACGGCCCAAAAACCATCTCTATGTACTGGATGCTTTCGCTCTCCCCTCCTGCTGGCCCGGGCACCAGGTCTCGACCCAGCCACCGGCCTACAGCAACAATGCCGGGGTCCAAATCGGCGGGGGCCCACCGAGAAAAACCCTTCGTTGTCCTAGTGTGCACGGACGAAATCCAGTTTGCACCACCTAAGAAACCATGGTGGAAACCTGGTTTGTTGGTATTTACAGGGGAATCGAACAATTCCAGGGCTTTTTTTAGGTGGTGTAGATTTTCGTCCATCCACAGTACGGGACCTTGAGCACAAATACATGGGTTTCCCTGGTGAATGGGGCATAAAACCAATCTAAACCAGTGGAACCGATCTATTTCGATCCAGGGGAGGTGTCCCATTTTACCCTCTACAATCTACAAGAGCCATGGGTTCAAATACCCAAGCCACCAATGCAAATCACCAAGCAAGGGTTACCTGGAATAGGGTACCCTTATAAACACACTTTCCCGAATGAAAGGACAAGGAGGGGCCCCTCCAGGTGGTGAGTTTGAGTTTGGAATTCATTCCAGGTGCACTTCCAAGTTTGTTGGTGCCTACGTTCCTTGCTTTACAAGCAACTGACACACTATGAAAGCTGCCCCCCCCAAAAAAAAAAAAAAAAAAAAAAAAACAGAGAGGTATACTTGCTGGTGCTCAGCAGGGAATGACCCCAATTATCCATCCTATACTTTCCTTTAAGGGGACTGAGTTCATTCCATTTACATTCCCTACCGCACCAGCAAGTCTAGGCACCCCTGGAGGTCTTTGGACTCAGAGGTCCATATGAGATCAAAACCCGGTATCAAAATGGTTTACCCAGGAAGCCATGGAAAGAGTTAAGAAGGCGGATATCCGCAGCTATGTATAGTTGGGATTGTCCCTCACTAACCTTCATCTACCCCTGGAGTCCGCTAGGTCCTCCAGTAGAGAATCTAGGGTACCAACTTTTTTCTGTTGTCTATTTTAGTGGGGAACCCAACCCCCAAAGAAGAAACGGTAAAAGAATTAGCAGCTTGGGGGAGCTCCATATCCCGTGCGACCGCTGAGACGCCCGGGCGCGCCAAGCGCTGCAGCGCCGCGCGGCGCTCGAAGCGGCGGCGCTGCTGGCGCCCGTGGAGACGGGACCACCTGAGGCCGCGGCGGGGCTTCGCCAGAGGCGCCCTCCACAAACAGGGATCCTTACATTAGACACCTGAGTCACTTGCTCAAAACCCGGTATTAAAATGGTCTACCCAGAACCATGTAAAGAATTAAGAAGGCGGCCGCAACTATTTCTGGCTGGGACTGCCCCTTACTAACCTTCATCTACCCGGGTTTTGATTGTGGCTCACCTGAGCATTGCTTTGTTTTCTGGTGGTGTCTCTTTATTTTGGTGTTCAAAAAACAACATGTTTCAAATGGTTGCAAAATGTATCCTTTAAGGAGCCCTGCCAAACGCTCCCGATTGTTGGGCCCAGCCAGGTTTTGAGACCCGGGTTGGCAAAAAGTCCAAAACCTCTTGACTCGTTTTCGGGACGCCTCCCAAATTTGATTCAGATCATAGTTGTAAGGGCCTCTTGTTGGATTCAGCCGGGGCCGAGGTTTGCAGGACATGTCAGTACCCTCTGGTCCACTAATTAACATGGAAGCCACCCGGGTTCAGTTTACAGGGCTTCATGGCTGCACTGTGAGTGGATTAGACAAATGTCACGATGGTTCTCCATTGGCCACATTGCCAATGCATCCCAAAACCGCCACGTTGGGTTATGCCTACATGGATTCTCGGTTCTCACGGTTGTAACCTATGGCTCTGAACCAGAAGGCTTCACCCTCGCAAGCCACAGGAACGAAGCCGGAGTGGAGCTCGAAGGGGCCAACGGATGGAACCCAGAAATCAACGGTGACCCAGACACTGAAATGATCCAAACCAAAAAGTGAAAGCCAAGGCACTCGGTCAAGGCACTCGGGAAGTGCTGCGGATGGACGACATCCCGCACCACCCGAGAAAAAATATGGGGACGATGATTTCCCTGCAACTACCAAGAAACCATGGTTTAATGACCATCATTTCTCAGGCGGCGCAGTTCTGTCCATCTGCAGTATGATTTGGCTGGCGACACGGCAACCACACAGCACCACCCAAACTGGTGCTATATCCGGGGCCAACGGGCTCCGGCCCGGGCATCAAGCCCCCCTGAACTCTTTACTAATGGAACCACACACTACCTCCTTTTTCTTGCCTCGGCCTGCCCTCCACATATTTGCTTGCACCTATTCTGGGGCGAATTAGAACATCTCACCAGTCTCATAAACCACCAGATGAATCTGGGGTGAGGTCGTGTGAGGTCGTGTGAGGTCGCTATAATTCACCCAGACATATTTGTTTGTAGGCCACTGTACCTTCTGCATAAACGACTTTTCACATGCTTGAACAACACTGATTCGCCAATACAACGGTAAGGGTTCGATATGCAGGAGCTTTCAAACATCTTCAAACATGTGCGTGAACATGCTGACGCCCATCTCCTCTGCTTTCCTTCCCAGCTGATACAGGGTGCCCCCCCGCCCTGTGAACAAGATATCTTTCCTTGCTGTTGGACCCGCACCCTGGCCAGTTTACCGGGGTACACCATGGTACACCCAGCAAACTTGATAGACTACTGTCCACCTTCCCATGAAACAAGGCGGACCCCCCCCCCCCCACTTCTTTCAGTTTCTTGCTGCTCGCCTGCAAATCAACCGAAACAGCGTGACTGTTCGAGGAACATCCTCTACAGGCTGGGGCCTTTTGAGGCCACCTTCTGAAAGCAGGGCGGTACTTGTTGGGACACCTTGCCAAAAACTTTCCACCCAGAGATTAGCGACTTCGGGTATGTGTCATAGGGGCACCCCCACATGTTTGGGTGTTTTCCTTTTGGTTTCCCTTTCAACCAACCACCAAGGGAAGCTAGCTGGTGGTTTGGTTTGGTTTGGTGGTTGGTTACGGGGTGGTTTCCCAGTTACCCTCTACAAAAGCCGGGGGTTCAAACCCAAATCCAAACCATCAGTCCAAACCGCCAATCTGTCGGGTTACCTAACATAAAGGGCACCAACTCCAAAACCAGAATCTCAAATCCAAATCCAAACTATCAAGCCAAACCACCCATCTCTCGCATTACCCGGCGCAAACCCAACATTTTGCACCCACTCGAAGGAAAACGAATGGCGCAAACAACCAGGCACCCACTTGGGGGAAAAAAAAACCTGGGCGAATCGGTCCATCGGCCCATCGGCCCAAAAAGGCCATCGGCGCCGAGGCGCAAGTAGCTGAGGCCCAGCAGGGCGCCGAGGTCCGTGAAGCAGGTCATCCGGGCGAGTCAGGTGGTTGGCTGGGTGAGTACTTGGGGTGTAACCCCCTACTGTGGATGGACGAAATCCATTTCGCACCACCTAAGAAACCATGGTTGAAACCATAACGTTGATTGGTATTTACGTTGGGGAATCGTATCATTCCCGGGTTTCTCAGGTGGTGCAGGAGATCGTCAATCCACAGTAATAACCAGGTGTACCCCACTGAACGACGGGGGTTAGAAGGAGGTTATAATCTAGGTTTCCAAACCTATCCATGTTTGGTCCCTTACTCACCTTCATCTAGAGGTTTGAGTGTGGCTCACTTGGTGTCCGGCTGGGTGAGTACGTGGTTGGCTAGTTGGGGTTGTTCACCCCCTAGAATAACAAGGATAACCCCACTCGACGGGGGACTGCACGTGGGTAAAAGCCAAGGTTTGCAAGTACTTGCTGCCTTGGCCCAACACCCAAGCATGGGTGTGAATCTCAACAAGGAACTCTTGGTGGCCAACAAAACTCGGTGGGGATTTATGTCCACCAGGTGGCTTCTGATCGAAATTCACAGCCACGTGAAAGCTGGAACAGCACCCCTTTCCTTTGATACGGTGCAGGGCCTACATATTGCAAGTAAGGGAACAAGAAAACCTTCTAATTCACCGCAATTAAACATGGTTGGCATCTTCGGGCTCACCACACCCAAAGTGGGGACTTTCATCGATTCATAACTACCCCACAGATCGTGGAGTCCAACAAAAACATCCTTTGTCGATGAAACCCCTTTGGCCCTTTTTGAGAATCGGTCTCCAATACTTGATTCTCAGATGTGACCCAGAAATCCGAACATGGATGCCTGTTTTTGTATGATCATATGACGCGGCTTCAAATCAGTTCCAGGAAGGTCGCACTCAACAAAGAGACGCAGCGAGACACGCCCAAAAGCGGCGTCTCCTTCAACATTATCCTCGCAAAGACGAAATGAATGAGCTCGGTGAAAACCATCCTCAACACTAGGCTGGAATTAGGACCCAACTGTTTTGCCTGGTTAGTGGAAAACAAAGGGGACCCAAGAAGGCAAACCAAAAAGGGGGAACTAATTCTGGGTCCGGAGCCCTCATGTTGAGACAAGTCGCTCAGCCCGAGGCTTGAGCAGCGGCAAGTCGCTTCGATTTGGCATGGACTCACTCGCCCAAAAGGAATTTGGGAAATGGTTCATCTTCTGGAGCTATGACTGAAAGTAGAACAGAAAAGGGAAACAAAACTCAGCTCCTGAGTGGATCGGCCCAAACCATACCAAACCTTTTTGGCAGCCACTAACATGGTCCCAAGAAGTGACTGAAGTCTTGGAACTCGGGAAGTGAGGAAAGGTTCCGCCGAGTCACGAGTCGCTTGCAAGCGAGTAGCTGAACTTAGATTTCTCCGTGCCTTCCAGTTGCGTCTTTGCCCCCTGGGAAAAATAGAAACATGTCCAGTAGCGATAGATTTCCTCCGAGTAGAGACCAAGGGGGACAACTATCAAGTAGTCAAATTCTGAAGCAAACGGCAGTGCAGTTGGATTGACCGCTGACCCAAGACCATGCTCAGCCCTGCGCCGCCCTCCAATTTTCGTCACAGTGATGTGATCTTGCCCCAGTGTTGCCTGAAGCCCGTCCGCGGTGTTAGCTCCTCGGCGCGCGGTTTTAGATGATTTTGTCGGATTTGGTTCTTTGAATCATGCGACTTTGACGGTGTCCTGTATTTTTCCAACCTCCATTTGCCTCAGTCCCCAGGAAAACATAAATACGCATATCTCCAGCAGTCACAGATTCCCTTTAAAACCATCAGGGTAAAATAACAAATATTCTTAAGCAATCAGCCTGCAAAGGGGGAACCAAACATGACAACAATCGCATGGCTGCGCCATAGCATTGCCCCCCAATCTTTCACAAACCGTAGAAAAGTGATCATAGAAGCCAGCTTTGTCTTCCATGTCAGATCAAACCAAAGAGCATCCAATCCTTGAGGAAAACGTGTGAATCTTCAGGGGAAGGAAACCGCCCATGGAAGGAAGGCCACAGGGATTTCCAGAGGCCCGCAACTTGTGGCCGGCCAATCCATGCAAAGTAGTGGAACCCAACCTTTGTGTTTCGCCCCTCTCCTGTGGGGGGCACCCAGTTAAAAGGGGTTCCAGGCCGATGTGCAGGGCCTGAGTGCTTCCATGCTGTGTTCGAAAATGCAGATTCAGAACAAACACGATGGTTCTGGCACAAGACAGCACATTCTTTGCCCAGGGGTGTCACAGACCGCGCCAGAAAGTGCAAAAAAAAACGAAAGAGGGAGACACTTTTGGCGCCCGCTCAAAAAAGAGGGTGCTCTTTGTTGGTGGGTTGAAAGGGAAACCCAAAAGGAAAAAACCGGCCCCCCTTAACGAAAAAAAAACCGACCCTTTTTCGGAGGGCCCGGTCTGCTCGCTTCCAGCCGACAAAAAAAAGCCGAGTCCCCCCGAGTCCAAGGGGCTCGAGTGCCATTCACCGGCGACAGCTGCGGGAAGGGGCTCAGCATGCTCGAATTCTTCGGCCTCTCCGTCCCACTGCTTTGCGCGTGCCTTTTTGGACCAACCTCGAGGGTTTTTTAGTTTTCTGGGAAAAGGCGTAAAACCCATCTAAGGCGGTTCTTTTTCATTTTTGTTCTTGTTCTTTTTCTGGGACATGTCCAGCTAAGTTTTTTTTTTGTATTACACCTGGGAATACACCCACTGAGTATTGACCCCATTGAGGCACGTGTCCGGATAAAGCCGTGTTCTGTTGAACCATTCTGTGTCATTTCCCAAGGGTGTAATCCCAGGGTGTAATACAAAACCCTCAGATTCCAACTGTTCGGTGTCCTTTTGGGCAAATCTCAATGGGTTTCCCTGGGACATGGATGGCGTAAAACCCATCTAAACCAACAGGTGTCCTTTTGAAGCACATAGATGGGGTTCGCTGGGAACTGGGGGCAAATAAACCCATCTTAATCAGTGGAACCCATTTCTAGTCAAACCAACCTAATAATGAAGAATCTATGCTTCCAACACGCGAGAGCCAAAAACGGTGGTGCCCTCAGCAGAAAAAATAATGTCCTTCTTACCCTAAGGGGACTGGGGGTGGGGTCCCCAATTCCTCAAATCGAATGAACCAGCCCTGGAAAAGAAAAACAAAGAAGAACAACAAAGAAACAACAAAAACATTCGTAAGTTCATGGAATGATTTTATCCGGGTGGTTGGTTTTCCGTCTGGCTTCCCTTACAGCCATCGGAGCAGGGGTAAGGTCCATTCCCCAGTTTCCCACTTCTCGAGCCGAGAGCTCTTCTAAACATAAGGCCCGCTTTTGGGCTCGCGAAGGGACAAGGCAAAGCCACCTGACAGCAGGGTGGCACATATTTCCACCAAACTAGCCACCCAAGCGGCAACATAGGGCACCTTGTCGCAGGTGTGAGCTAGTTGATTGGAAACGGACTCCCAGGATTCTAAAAAGGGAAATCAGCAGAAACTCAACCATCCTCTCGCACACCGCAAGTCGAAGTTTATGAAACGATACAAGTGCGGCGTGATGGTCAAAGCTCCGCTATCAGGTGCCAGAGATTGCAAAAACAGCTGCCCAGGTGCATGCGCCGGCTGCTCTTGGTTGTGAAACCCTTTCTGTGATACCGTTTCGGTGGGTGTCCCATCCCCATAACTTGGACAACTTGGACACTTCAACATGGATATCCGACTAGTATCTCACACACACCAAAACAAAACAACCAGAACCAGTCCGCATGCATTCCTGGTCTTCGCATACCTTGGTTGCTGTTGACCCCCCTCCAAAAAGTCTAACTTTTTGGTGGGTTTAGTGGACAACCCTTGATTTCAACCAAAAACGTTCAAGTCTAAAGATCCAACCCAATAGAGTAAAGATACGTTCTTGTACTGTTCCTACTTTGACGACGTCTCTCAATGCAAGACCCCTCCAAGCATTCAGCTTGTTGGTGCTGAATTGATCACAGCAATGCCTATGGGTCTGTCTTTTGATATGGGACCCCCAAAATGGTTTTTGTTCCCTTTGTTTCACTTAAAACTGACCGAACACCCTCAAAAAGTGACACACCCATATCCACACCACGCCACTTCGCATTCTGCGCCCGCCTCGGCATTGGCTGGCCGACTCGCACGCAAAGATCGCCCATGACCTGGGAAAAAGCAATCCAGGGGCCAAGTACTCAGTAGAGGATGGCTTGTCAGGGGTTAGGGGTCAACGCACCTCCTCAAAACTTGACCAAACGAGTGGACCCCCTGCAACCAGCTGAGCTGTTTGCTGGCTTAAAGGGTGCTGGGGTTTTCCTGTGCTGAGGCATTTTGATACGGAACACGATGAATCCCAACCGAACAAACTGAGCACCAAAGGGTCCCCGTTTTTTCTGTTTTCTTTTTTGAGAAACACCCATTGGCTTACTTCCTGAGTCGATTGGCCTGAACAAGTCACCATTTTCGTTCGATGCCATTAAACGCATGCATAACACTGAAATATTGTGAAACCAAACACATGGCAACTGAAAGTCTAGGAACTCAGGGAGTAAGTTGGGTGATTGTATAATGCTGACCCTGGGTGAAATGTGGGCAATCAGACCACTGTTGTCATATGGCTATGGGTCAAAACCTCGTACCCCCAGTGAACATCCCAATCCCCACTAAAATAGGTTCTAAAATGGGTGGCGAATTCACCTACCCCAAAATGGGATCCCATTGGTGTTGACCCACGGCCATATGGCTCCCCCTTCCCGGGCTGTGGCTCGCATTTTTTGGCTCGGCTCGCGCTTCGGCTCGTCCCTGGCGGACTGGCGGCCCCGGGCATCGGCGTACTGCTTCCCGATGCCCGTGGTGCTCCAGCCGCCCCCCAGCAGCTGGTCCTCGAGAAAACGAAAACCACCGACTGACGCCGAAGGGTCAGTGGGTCCCGGCCATTCGAGGGCTTGATTCTTTGTTTCCCCATGGAAATCCACCGGGCATCTGAGAACCAGATGGGAACAACAAACAGTTCTAGGGGGTGATTCCTTGTCCGTTCTATTCCTGAACGTTTCCAGGGGCACCGCTTTTTTTGTGGTTTTAAAGGGAAAGGAAAACTAGCATCTTGGGTTCAACCTAAAACTCTAGGGTTTGATTCTTTGTCCATTCTTTTCAACCATCGTTCTTTCATAAATCCGGATCCGTCTTCAACTTGGGTTTCAAAGGAGATTTCCTAGCAAGAAGGATCCCTGGCAAGAATGGGGAAGGTACCCCTAGAGCCATGGGAGAAACCACGAGGAGACGGAGACCAATGCGTTGTGTCCATGTAGAGTATTTCGTTGGACACCCAGTGATTGCTTGTGGCTGCTTCCTTTTCTCAAAGTCTTGGATGAACCCCTAGGGCCCCTATGGGATAAGCCACTTATATTAACTTATATTTCTTGGCCTCAGTGGTGCCTTTAAAAGGAGCTGAGCAAAAAGGATTCAGTTGCTCCGTAGGAAGCTCGAAAAAAAAGGTGATCACCTTTTAGGGCCATGTTTCTGTGGATCGAAACTGGGAACTTAACGGGACACCCCCCAAAACAACGTTGAGAAAAGGAAGCAACCATAAGCACCCACTGGGTGTCTAAGGACCAGTGGATCAATCCCCGCACCAGTTAGGTGGCTTCCCCCCCCCCAGGGGTTCATCCAAAACTGGTGCAGGAGCTGTCCATCCGGTCAACACTTGCTGTTGTCAGGGCTCCCTCAACAGGAACCCTCATCATGGATTTGCTAGATACCCAGGATACGATTAGTCCTTCCGATGAATATTCCCCATTGCAGGTCCCCAGTTGCCCAACCCGGGGCTAGGACAAAAAGGAGCCTTCTCTCGCGATATTTTCGTCACAGGGGTCTCTACAGTTGCCCCACCCCCGGGGTCCCCACCCCTCCCTTGTCCCAAAATCCCACCTGGCCAAAAGTTGATGCCTAAAGAGAACAACTTTTTGCCCTCAGCTTGTGACATTGTGCCCTCAACATCTGAGGAGCCCACCAACTTGGGGTCCCTGGATTGCCCTAACTTGCACATTTACCGCTAAGCTCCACAAGGTTGCCACTGTCCAATAATAGAGTTGCGGCGTCCTTTTATGCGGATGGGCTGCCTGAGTTTGTCAGCCCCTCAATCATAGACGTGTCCTTTTTGGCTGTTTCGGTGGGAAGTAGTTAGCAGTTCCTGGTTGACCTGGTGGTTTCCTAATCAACCTGGTTCATTTATTTTCCTCAGAGACAGTGGCAACCTGAAGCCACAAATGCCCAAAGACACTCCACAAGCCCCTGTCAAATTCGGGTTGATCCGGACTTCTAGTGGGGGAATCCTATATTCTAAGGGGGCTTCCTCTGCTTCATGTGGTCCTCGGACTAGTAAACCCGGCCATGTTTGGAGGGCACCCCTGGTTTGTGCTTGTAGAGGGAAGCCAGCAGGAAAACCCACCCGTGTTTGGGTCTCGGGCGCCTTAAAGAAGTCTTGGGCCCCGTTCGGATTCCAAAGCTCGATCGATCAAAAAAAAACACGGTCCCGGAACTTGGACAATGAATTCAGGCGCGCGGTCTCGACCTGTCGAAGCCACCAAGGTGAGAACCTGAAAACATATGGAACTGACCGAATAACACTGGCCCCCAACACATACCCCTCAAAAAAAAAATGGGTTGCATGGCCTTGATGTGCAGCGGTGCCAGAGTGCTTAAGATATCCCAATTTCCCTTGGGCCTGGGGCACTACTTTGTGGTAGCGCCCCGGCCCTCTTGAATAACAGCTCTGGCGAAGCTCCGCAGGGGGGCTGGCAAGGCAAAGGTGGATACTTGTGGCAATAGACACTGTGCTGGCCCGCCCCACTATTTTACAGGACATGATCTGCCCTGTGGATTCACAACTTCCACTGCGCACCAGCTGGCAGGTAGTTTATCCCGTTACTCACGGGGTTGATCCAACACAACTAGTGCGCAGTGGATATTGTCCATCCTTCACATAGTTAGCCAAATACAGTCCGGCCGTCTTCTCTGCCACTAAAATGTTCTTCCCTGGAAGCGAGATCCACGGTATCAAGCCCGTTGCCTACACCCTGCTGGCAAATTCTAGAATCCTCTTGGTTAGTTGGGCTCCATTCGGGCTACATCCTCTCAAAGAGCAAGTTGAAAGGGGCTGTTGGTCTTTCTGCATTTCTCTGCTTGGCCCGCAGCGATCAAATGTCAGGTACCCTGTGTGAGCCTATAGTCTAGAGAGCTTTTGCCAGCAGGCCCTAGAGTCCGGTCCAATTGAAAGGATTCAGCACGCTTAGCCCTGCTGCTTTTGCCTTGCAGCAACAAACATGTGTCAGAATGCAAACCTTCAGATGCAACACGGACTTGCCTCGACATGACGTGACCACAAAGTGGGTCGGTCACCTTTTGCTTTTAACCAACCAACAAAGAGCGCCCCAAAAAACAAGACACACCAACTAACCCCCCCTTTTTTTACCACTATCAAAGTCACCCCTTAAGTGAGTTAAAGGGAAAACCAACCAGTGTCTGACTTTGATAGCCAATAGAAACAAGATCCAAAAAAATGACCCCAGACCCACGTATGACTTTCCGGCCGCAAATCGACTCAGTCTGCGCCCCCGGCCGCGCAATCTACGCCCTTGTAGCCTTTGGCAGTACCCTCGATGAACCGCCGCAGCGCCTCGAATTGACGGCGCCGGTCAAATTGTTCAAGCTGTGATTGGAAGGGGGCGACGAGGGAGCCCTTCGGAGCCTTTCGGAGAACCGAGTTGGAGCCCTGACAAGAGAGGCTTCTATGTGTCTGACTTTGATTTGAGGGGTTGGGTTGAAAGGGAAAGCAAAAGGACAGCCGCCATTTTGTTGGGGGGGTCTCCCAACTTTCACACAGACCCATTTCGCAGCCCCGTCCCTTGTCCCTGGTCTAACAGTCCACCCTCTGCGCTGCGGGAATGTGCGAGTTTGGACATCTGCCCTGGGTTCACTTGCATTAGGTCGCCCACAAAACCCAGCCAAGCATATCCAGCGCATCTCTCTGGCTTCTCCACTCAACAGTCAGGATTCCCGGCTTTTCAATCTAACATCAGCGGCCATCAAAAGGAAACTCAATCCAAAATTGTGCTTCTTTCCAAGAGGGCGAAAAAGTTTGTCGCAAAAGCACAACTATGTCTGAGTGTGTCTTTTTCGAGGGCACCCCTTGTTGGTTGGTTTTATATAAAGGAAACAAAAAGGAGAACCACCAATTTGGGGGACAAGGGGCACCCTCAAAAAGACGATAGCCCTCCCGAAGCCCCCTCCAGCCCATGAAAGCATTTGGCTTCCAGTTCCATTTGCTGAACCATGTACAGAATTCAAAAGGCGGCCGCATCCACTTATGGCTGAGATTGTACCCCGTGTTTTGATTGTGACTCATATAGATATATATATATATATAATATAACACAGTATAATATAATGTGTATATAATATAATATAATGTGAATATGTATATATATATTAATATATTAGTGTGTGGCTCAAAATTGAAGAGCTCGGGTTACGCGGTGTTAGTCTTTGTTGCCATTTACCAGGGTTCCGTTTGGGTACCCATTTTTGGACCCACAGCCACATACCCTGAGAGTCAGCCAGGATTCCCCATACCCCCCCGCCTGCTCATGTGCGCCACCGCTTTGTTGCCCGCACTTGGCGGCGCGGGCGTCCTGCGATTTTTTGTTTCGTTCCGAAACGTGGGCGATTACAAAGACGGCAGTGACAAAATGGCAATTGTTTAACATTAAACCACCAGGGACCGCAGGTTTTAGTCCCTTGTTTCATCTACCAGGTTTCATTTTGGGTACCTGTTTTTGACCCATCAAAAAAAATCCACAGTCACCCACTGTGGACAAAGTCTGCTCGCACCACCTCAGAAACCATGAAACAACTATTGTTTGTTGGGCTTTACAAAGAATCATCAGAAACCATGGTTTCTTGGGTGGTGCAGGATTCCGTCCGTCCCAGTTGGTTTCTCTTTGGAGCGGGGTCAGGGTGCCACGATAGAAGGTGCGTATCAAGGGCACCCTTAGGGCAACGTAAAAAGGGATCGCCGGCGCCGGATTGGGGAAATGCGCTGGTCTCTGATGAAATGCCATAAAGTAGAGCAAAACAAGGGGTGCCGATGTGGGGTGGGGAATGTGCAGGCATGTAGGTATGTGGCATTTAATCTACGGCTCTTGAGTTCCTAATGGGAGCACCTTGCGCCGGGTATCTTAAGTGTGAGGCAAATAGGGAACAGGTTTGAAGTCGATATTGCAAGACATGGTTTGCGGCCTGATCAGTTGCAATACAAGCGCGATGGCTTGTGGCTGGTTCACATAAGATTCAGCGATCAACCATTGCTTCATGAACCCTGGGGAGTCAATGGGTGTGGCTCAAAATTTAACAGGAGGGGTTACGCAGGTTTTGGTCCATGTTTCCATTTACCAGGGTTCCATTTTGGGTACCTGCTTTTTGAGCCACGGCCAATATGTCAAAAGGTCGATTCGCTCTCAGCCGCCGAGATGAAATGGGGGAAGCTGCACTGTTTGCAGGCCTTCTTGGAAAAATCGGGTCCGATTCCCTTCACAGCCAGCCGCAATCCACTCCTAGAGTAATGAACATCACCCACCCACGCGAAAAAATGAGAACATGAGCTCAGGGTCAGAGTCACACGGACCTTCAACATACCGCCGAACAAAAAATGAAAACAAAAATAAACAAACACGGAACAACCAGAACACGCACAAAACAGAAACAAACAAACACAATACAAAACAATAATCCCGCAAAACAAACAACAAACAATCACAAGAACAACTAACAAACGACAAAACAACCACCACCACCTCCCCCCCTTTTCCGGGGTGCCATGCCTTGCTGGGCCCCGCCCAACCCCCGCCAACCCACAGCTTCGAGCGCCGGCCGAACCAGCTTCGGGGCCCCGGCCACCGGCTCGCTGCAGGCGGTGAGGAAGGCCTCGTCCAGGGCCCAGGCGCCGCGGCCCTGCGAAACGTCGGCGGCCGGACGTCTGCCGGCCATAGCGCGGTGGCTGGAACGAGCCCTCGGCTAAAAGCTCTGCTTTTGCTTTTGTTTTTGTGTTCACTTCTTGTGGGTTTTAGTGGAGAACCCAACTTGAGTTCAAAAACAAGGTTAAAGCCTAAAGATCCAACCCAATAGCAGTCAAGCCATGTGGATGGACCAAATCCACCGCTGAGAATGACACGTTAAGCGCATCATAGGGTCTAAGGCCAGGTTGACAACATCCACTGAGAATGGCACCTGAAGCGCTTCAAAGGGTCTAAGGGCAGTCTTTACGAAATCCGCTTCTCGCACCACCGTTCAGAAACCCAAGGGACTCATTCAACTGCCCTTTAAATACCAACAAACAATGGCTTCAAGCATGGTTTCAAAGCGGTGCAGGATTCCGTCCATCCACAGCGTGGGTGTCTCGTTGTAGGAAACGGACCCGGTCCCCAAAATGGCATGCATAGCCTAGATTAGTCAGCTAAGTGAAACCAACAGGGGATACTGTGAATGGACAACAAATCGAGATCACCACTTAGAATGAACCAACCGTGTTTAGCAAGTTTAGCCCACCACTTTTTCTCATGCTTCATCCATCATGGCTGGTGCAGGATTTTGTCCATCCGCGGTATGGGTGTCGTCGTGTTTAGGAATCAGACCCCCCAATAGCTTTGGAAGTTCACAGGAGTCAAAAACAACTCCCAGACAAACTTTTATAATTCAAGTCAGTAGGAAACACCCTTTGCATGGCAACATTGCAATGCGTGAGCCGTCCACCCCCCCAAAACAAAAAACAAAACAACAAAAAACAAGTCAACAAAAGACAGTTTCTGTCGGCGTTCCTTTAAAACCCCTCAGAAGAAGCAGCGACTCAAAACGACACCTACTCACATCTCTGGCTGACAAACCTGCCTTGGGCTTGCGTGTGGTGTTCACCTGAACGGCCGAGGGTAGCGTCTCAGCCGTAGCCATGCTGCCCAAAGGATCTGCAGCAAAAGCAATCCTTCGGAATCTTGACTAAACAGTGTGGCTGTGGCTCAAACAACTTGTACCAAAATGGAACCCTGGTAAGTGGAACCCTGGACCAAACCCTGCGTAGCCCCTCCTGTTTAATTTTGAGCCAGACCCATCTGGGTGAATTATAATATTGCACCAGCCTGAAATAAGTTGGTTGGAGGGATATTCCCCCACATAAACCACCATTTGGGGTGAGGTCGTGTGAGGTCGTGATGGTTCACCCAGAAACATGGGCCATTCAACACAACGCAAGGTCAGCTTTGGAGCAAGTCTGCATGGGGACATGGACCATTTGAAAAAAACAACAAAGTCAGGTGAGTATGGGAAGCAGACAAAACATGGACACTGGAACAAAACACAGGGGCAAGTGAGTATGGATCATGAGGCAGCCTCTCCACACTGCAACAGCGATCCAGTTCATGATTTGCTTGTCAGCAGTTGCTGCAAAGACAACGCCTCACCCATAGGGCAACTGGATCTCTGGATAGCAGACTGGGCAAACGCGAATGGCCGCGCATGGACTGTTCAACTAAACACAAGATCAGCTTGCCCATTAAAGCCAACAGAGGAAAACGGATCATGATGCTGACCTCGGACCAAAATGATTCTAAATGTACTCTCCAGCCCCCTACCCCTCATCCAACAAGTAACTGTCTCTACGCATGGGTGTTGTTAGATAAGCTCGGTCTGGCAAATAACAGCTTGTGGTTGGGTCGTCTTCTTGGTGCTCAGTAGGAATGAACCCAATCCCTTTACGGAAACCGCCAGTTGGATGCTTTTTCTTGGGGTCAGACTCCATTTGGTCATGGGTCAAAATCCCGTACCCCCAGTGAACATCCCAATCCCCACTAACAAAGACTAAACGGTGGTGCACCCACCCCGAAATGGTACCATTGGTTTTGACCCACAGCCATTTCTCATTCCCTGCATCTCTCGCACCGATCAAGTTCTTGCTTGGAGACATTCCGGACCCTCGGGGGAAACGCCTCCGCTCCCATCTCCACGGCACAGGACCTAGCGGTCTATCAAAGCGAGTTCTAAGCGGCTGTGCATTATTTAAAGTTGCTACTCCTTCCATTTGCGTTTTTGCGCCCTGGAAAAAAGTAAGAACAATGTCCAGTAGTGATATTATAGCTTCCCGTGTTGACCAAGAGGGGAAAATCAAACATACTCGTAAGCATCTTAAGCAAACGGACGGCTCCCTTTGTGTGGAGTTTCCCCCAAAAGGAAAACCGAACCGCGCCGTTCTGGGTCCCTTTGTCCGATTCCTAAAAAGGGAATCGAGCCTCCCAAATGGGGCCAGCTACCGTTTTCGGGGCAGGTCCTTCACAAAACACCAACTTAGCCTCACCCCCGACTGAGTGGGTTGGCCAAACAAGGAACCGAACTTAGCTCTAACCCGATCTTGCGTATCGCCTGACTAGTCAGAAATTTGAAATTGACATTCCTCGGGGTGGAGCTACTCACCTCGTGAGTTCCTGGACTGCCACTTAGGTTCGGACCGTTTGAGTAGATTCATGCCCTTCCCCCTTGAGAGGCTGTTTCCTTGCAAAACAGATCCTCCTGTGGGTGGACGAAATCCTGCGCCAAAAAAAGAACCCGTGGGAACCATTGTTTGTTGGTATCTATAGGGGTAATCATCATTCCAGGGTTTCTTAGGTGGTGCAGGATTTCGTCCATCCACAGTATGGCACTCCGAATGAGAATTTCGTTCCACGCGAAACCTTTCTTTCTGAAACCTGCTCAAAGTGAGTCGAGGCTTGTGGACAAGGCCACTGGCATCCACTGGATTCTAACACCCACGAGGTGTGTACGCCTTTTTTTTGGTGGTAGTCACCCCTTTTTGGTTGCCCAGAGGCTCGTGGCTTCGGCTTTCAATGGAAGACCCAACCCCTCCATTGGACACCCGGGGGTGGTTGGGGTCTCAAAACCAGGCTGTTTGAAGGCCCGAAATCAATCGAATTGGAGCCTCTGGGTGGGGCCAAAAGAAAACTGAGATCCATTTTATGTTCCTGCTGCTGGTGTTTTGGTTGTACCCCTATTTGGTTAGCTTTTAAAGGGACCTCAAAGGAAAACCAACCGACTCTGCAACAAAGGCCCTGTTTTCTTCTGATTCCAACGGTGATCGAAGTGTTTGAGCCTTTGCCCTCGTGGAACATCGAGGGCACTGGCAAACCAGAAACAAACGAAAACTACTGAATTCCGCTAAATGAGGTGGGATCCAAGTCCGGCAAACATGAAGCCAACCTGACCCCAGTGCTTTCTGTGCTCTTTCAACGGCCTCTGCCTTTGAATCGGTCGCCCGCCCTCGGATCCCGAGGGTTCGTTGAAAATTCGGGGCGCCCCGCATCTCGAAGAGGCACCAGAGCCGGTCGTAGATGTTCACATTGCCCAGCACACAGAGCAAGGACCTGCCCCGCAGCACCTGCGGAGGTGCTAATTCTCTCGCCCCTGACAATTTCCTAGTTGCTCCCAATAAAAATAAGGGGTCGCTGGATTTCCCCTTCACAAAGTTGGAGGTTCCAAAAAGGGAAATGGAGGAAACCCTGACATCACCCGTCCAAAAGGCTTAACTCCTTTTGATTGGTGGGTTGGGTAAACACTGAGGGGTCAAAAAAGTTGCTTGCCCCCAAAGCAAAGCCACGACCCAAATATGTGGCCGCACCCAAAGGCTCCAAAACTGGCTCTGCATGTTGAGCCCAGGAAATAAAGATGCCCCTGGCGGGGTTTCTGTCCCCCCATAACCTCCTGGGCTCCTGGCTTCGGCTTTCAATGCCCGCTTCGGTGGTTCGGGGTCTCAAAACCAGGTTCTTTGAAGGCCCTAAATCAATCGGGAGCCTCTGGGCCTTTATCTTCCCCGAACTGGGAGTGTTGTTGCTCCGAAGACTCTGGCAGGGCGATGGATGTGGACCCTCAGAAAAGGATACGCTTAGTCGAAACCAAACGCCCCGCGTTGATCGCTTCTGGGAACGAATGGCTCGGAGCACTGTCAAACCTGATCCCCACGGAGGTGGCTGGAACTCTTTGAGGGATGGTTTGGTGGGTGAGATAGCTGTGGGTCAAAAAAACGTACCCCAAACGGAACCCTGGTAAATGGAAGCATGGACTAAAACCTGCGCTCCCCTGGTAGCTTAATTTTGGCCCATACCCAGAATTTATGAATCGGCTGAACTCACAGAAAGGGGGAAAGTGGGTTGAACTTCGACAACCCCAAGTCCTCGGTCTGTCTACAATACTTGGTTGGCGTTGGAAGGGCAGCAAACAATTGAAAACTTTAGCAGTTCAGTGGTTGGATTTCAACCACTAAACCACAATAAGCAAAAATGGGAAACATGTGTCCCAACAACAACCATGAATACTGTTGATGAACTAAATCCACTTTGCACCTGTTGGGTGGTCACACCATGGCGGCTTGCGGTTTGCCCCTCCTGTTTCCTTTTGAGCCACGCCCTAGTGTTGTTCATTCCCACAACTCAACTCACCGTCTAGGTCCTCCAGTAGAGAGGATAGAAAAAGGGTACCCATGTTTTTCTGTAGTCTATTTTAGTAGGGGAACCCTCTCCCAACCAAAAAAAGGGGTGAGAAAGGCCACCTGGCTGGGGGGCCTAGCCGTGGTGAGCGAGACGCGCGGAGTTCGAACTCCGAGATCCATCTGCCTGGCCCAGCAGCTCCAGCGGGTTGCTCAGGATCTGCGCGATGCTCTCCTCACCGGCAAAACAAAAGAAGTTTCCGTCGCATCCCCAGACCTAGTGTGGATGAAATCCATTTCGCACCACTTTGAAACCATGCTTGAAACCTTTGCTTGTTGGTATTTACAAGGGAATCATGATTCCCGGGTTTCTCAGGTGGTGCGAAATGGATTTCGTCTCATCCCTAGACCGACACGACCCAACGGAGGATTTTGATCGTATGATGTCAACCCCTGGACAAGAGAGAAGGGGGTACGGTCCCTGCTTCACCTGTTTAAAGTGCACTCTGAACTCAATGGCGGCCATCGAGATTGCACAGGGTCGTAGTTCGTGCAAATAGGTACCTCCAACCTTTTAAAAAAACCATGAATTTTGAACCCAGATGCCCAGTGGCCATGGGAAAAAAAGGGCATCCTTTTTTGGTTGGTTGACTTTTAAGGGGAACCCTTCCAAACAAAAAGGAAAGACAGGGCACCACTAGGCAACTGGGTGAATGTGGGCTCAATCAACGGACGTGGTGTTCCCCCTCCAATCACCCCCATCAAGTCTCCTCGGACTGGTAGAGGGCAGTCGCAGCAACCTGCACACCGAACGGTCAAAATCTGAGCAGGCGGCAAACATCCTTCCCAAATCTCAGAAAACTGAAAATCTCACAGAAACTTGGTTGACGTTGGAAGGGCAGCAACAAACTGAAAATGTTGGCACTTGTCCCAACAACCACCATGGAAAAGTCACTCAGCAACAAAGTGGCCACAAAAAGATGAGCATCTTTTAGCATCTCCCGGAAATGGGCCTTTAGAGCAATCTTTTTTTTGGGGACAAACTAAGCAGCCGGGCCCACAGTGCTCCTTGCGATGCAGACCTCGGAAGACGGCTGACGGAGACCATGCCCGGACAACGTGGACTTTAACTGGATGAAATGAGCCAAATGGGCGTGGTTCAAAATTAAGGAGCTAGGGCAAACCGCAGGGTTTGGTCTTTGGTTCCATTTGCCAAGGGTGCCATTTTGGTACATGTTTTTGAGCCACAGCCAAATCTGGGAAGACTTCTAAAAAGCTCAAGATGGAAGCAAGAGGCCATCATCAAGTACGCCCAAGCAAGGACATTCATCGTGGATGAGCTGGGAATATAAAACCAGGTAAGCTCGCTACACTTTTTTTCATGACTGGACCCCTTGAAAAGAGCCTGCGACACATGCTTGTTCTGGATCAAACGTGATCGCACCCCGCAAAGACAGAAAACTTGGTTGCTATTCATAGCCCTCAAGCTTGTTTAAATTCACTCATATATATATATATATATATCAATTCTAATTGCGTCTTCTTCACGAAAGCGTGAGAGGTACAAGGTACCCTGAGCAGATACAATTAAAAGCTTGGCGTGGGCGTGGGATGTATTGCATGTTGCAACCACCCTCATCCCCAGGTACCACAGGCAGCCTTTGCACTGAAACTGATCAGTCGCTTTTCCGGTTGGCAAGTACAATGAATCACGCCATGAATCAGCATGAAACCGCACCAATAACTTCTACAATTCACCAACCAGATTTGGCAAGCAATTCGGGGGATGTTCATCCCAATCATGAACCCCGGAATCGCTCATTTGAACCCACCCCCCGAGCGGTGAATTACGCCCTAAGACTCCAAGTACCTGAGGGTACTTACTTTGACCCCCTTTAGACTTCAACAAAAAAGTCCATCCTCAACACAAAGCCCCAACAAAAAGTCCATCCTCAAAACAAAGCCCCAACTAAGGTGGACCGACCTGGATGAACCACCCAACCACAAACCCTCCCAAGCCCACGGGGCTTTTGGCCCGTCCCGTCGGTCCCTGGGATTGGATCTCTCGGTGCCCCCGGCAAGGCCGCCAGCAGCTCCGTGAAGCCGTCGTCCCAGGCGTGGGACACCATCACCGCCTCGACTTCCCCCGAGCGCCCGATTTTCCCCACGGGACCCGTGGGACGTGAAGTGGCCAACGAAACCGAAGGGCGGGTGAGTAATTAGTTTTTTGACCTCCCAAATTCCCCCACGAAAAACCCAAGCGCCGGTACCCCTTCCCTGTGTTCTCGGGGACCCTGTAAGGTTTTTCTGTACTGACCCCATATGAATCAACCCCAGTTTATTAAACGAGGGGGTGATTCTCCCTGGTTTGTTTTTGTTGGGAATCATCAATTTTGGAGGGAATCCCCCTGTTCAAAAACTGGTGTTGATTGATATGGGGTCAACATTACTGATGGTTTAAGGCTAGCATCCCCTTGTTGACCCCAAAACCCGAGTTTACGGGCCGTGACCAGCAGCATGGTCACCAACTGGCAAACACCCAACCAAGTTCTCAGCACTCGTTTGCTATCCCCACCCGGAGGAACAGGACCCTCCATACCCACTTTCAACTTTCAGGCCGTTCTGATTGGAGATCCTTTGGCGAAGGCATTTTTGAGGGGGATCTGGTTTCCTCCCTAAATGGGCTGGGGTGTTCAACATATGGGTGTCCTTTATAGGTTAGGGTGGTCAGAAACAGATGAGGTGGGTCCCACTGGTGTAGATTGGTGTCATTCCATTCATCAGAGAAACCCATCCATTTGTCCTGCAACCTGGCAGATGGTGGTTTTGAACAACCAGGGTTGACGCGGTGCCTAAATTCACCAACTGGGAAATGGTATTCATGGTTGCATTGTAAGCCATATCCCCCATGGGATTAGCGCCTTTCCCCACCCAGGCAGGGCTCGTAGCTCCTCAGTGGTTCTTACAGGGTTCGGATCGAACCTCTCTGGGGAGGGTGTTTTACCATGGCCACCCCGCAAGTGTTAAGGGAAACACAGCCATTGCTGACTTTGACAACCCCAAACCAACAAACAAACAATGACCGGCGGTGGTGGGGTGTGCTGACTTTAACCCCAAAAACGTGCGTTTTTTCACCACCCAGGGGTTGGGGGAGCCAGTGTGTCCGTGGTCAAACAGGGATCACGGGCCCCCCGGCCGCCAACAAGGGCGTGGAGGCGTTCCGCAGCAAGGCGTAGCCTGCAGGATAGGACTTGGCACGAGCCCTCAGAAGTGACCTGGAACATCCCCCGTGCCATAAGGGGGGTGGGGGTCCCCAATTCCAGCTATCTAGTCATAATGGAATTCCCCCAATTCCATATTTAAGGGGGTGGGGAGCCTGGAACCCAAAACCAGGGGACCACCCCAAAGGCAGACTCCTCAATTTCAAGGTGGGGTGCTCTTTCTGTTGTTTTGGTTGGGGATCCGTGGGACAAGTGCGGGGAAGCAAACTGAGGATTAAAGGCAACACTGGAGGAAGCCCAAAAGGGCAAAAGGACAAGTTTAGCAAAGTCTCGTGAATGTATGAGTACCCGACTACCAGAAGTTGATAGGACCCAAAACCAAAACCTATCAGCCTGTAGCAACTGATAGACTGTTAAGACCCGAACTCAAGAGCTAGGCTGTTACGCTTCGTTTAGTTTGTTGTCCATTTGCCGTGCCATATTTACCCCTGCTCCCACAAACACTTCGCAGCTGGAGGTTTCCTGGAAGATCAATCTCCTTTTCAAGGGACAGGTGCAATGGCTACGTGGAAGGAAGGGTCAGCCATGGCTCCCGTGGGGTCACAAATTCGGTTGGAACCTGGGTGGAACAAACCAAACACAGCTACCCTCCCACGCCATAAAGAGGGCTGGGACCCAACTCTTTCCGATTTCTTGACACCTCACAGGACCTCACAGGTCCATTGACCCCCCCCCCGACCGAGCGAGCGAGCGTGTGCTGGTTTTCTTCTTGAGCGCAGGCTTCTCATGGATGTCTCATCTCTCAGTCCGTGCCGAGCCAGCAGCACCACTTAAATCGATCAAACGGTCGAGGCGTCCAACGTCTGGCAGTCGCGTTTGGGTCCCGGCCGTACAACACGGCCGATTCGGAGGCCTGGGGCTTGGCATGCCCAGCTTCCAGCAAGAGGAGTTGGCTGGGCCTATGCCTGTGCTGTGCGGAAGCTGAGACGCGCCAAGCCCCGCCACCGTCCAAGAGCCGCAAGTTCCTTCCAACCAACAGCTGCATCAAAGGTGGGGGGACAACCCAAACCAAACTGCAAATTTTATGGGGTCCCAAAATAAACGAGTAGTTCCAGAGCATACCAAGTATAAATAGTATAAACTATAGCGCCGCAATGCCAGACATTTGCGGTTCGACAAAGGGGAAAACGCATGGGAGCGAGAATCTAAAGCCCAGCCAAGCCCGCGCTGGCAGGCTAAGCCAGGAAATGCCCCATTCAACTCGCTTCCTCAGTGAGCTTGATTGGCCAACAAAGTCCAAACCTCCCCACCCGCTCCAATGTATGATTTCCATCCTTAGCCACACCGGGAAACGTACGGGGGGAATGAAACGGACGGGGACTCTTCTTCGGGAGCTCCATACTTCAGCGGGTGGGGTTTTTTGGCCTGCCTCTTTGGCCTCCTCGCTCGCAAGAACAAATCCCAGACATGGAAGCTGGAAGGCCCCTGGAAGACCATGTTCCACGTGAAGGGGCCTTCTATGCGCTTCCGTGTCAGGAGATACCACACTGGAGAAGCGAGTTGCACCGCGCGCGGGCGGGGCATGAATCGAGGCACCCGGCGACTCGCCTCTCGTGAGAGACCCACCGGGCGCTGCGCTCGAGAGCGCCAAGCGATTTTGATGCCAAGGACCGGCGAGTCGAGGCTGCCAGAGGATCTATGCTGCATTTATTCAGCTGAGTCACCGAGTCACGGTCAATGTAGGGCCAAGAAAAGGTCAACCGTGTAGGGCCAAGAAAAAATCGCCAACGAACCGAGACAAACACATTAAGTGACTTACAAAGACTAGCACCGAAAAAGGGCAGATGCTCGCTCGGGCCGGTCCGAGCAACGCCTCGCTTCCCATGAGCCCTGTGTCCAACCAAATTGGGTCTTTTGACGCCTCGCCGTCTCACAGCAGGTCACTTTGTGCTGGCTGGAGCGGCAGAATTTCTCAAGGACGCCACGGGAAGCCCGGACCGAGAGGTCTCGGCCCGGGCAAAGTCCCTCAGTGGTTTCCGTGTGAGCCAACCGAAGCGGTCTCTGCGAAAGCTGCTCTAACGCGGTATGTTCCTCAGAAAACCACCAAGCATGCGGTAACAATCACCACTTAGCGTCACCTCCTCTGACGAAGCGTAAGAGACACCCGAGCAGCGTAACATGTTAGTGTAACAAGTAAAATATATGCTAGGTGCTCCAGTAGAGAGGTTAGAATAAGGGTACCCGACCTTGATAAAAGGGCACTACTGGGGGACCCAAAAAAAGAAACGGTAAAAGGGCACCTAGCTGGGGGACCTAGTATGTGTAACATGTGAAACATATCGGTCTAACATGTCGATCATCCGTCAGCAGCATTTGGCCGCTGGGAGGTGCGTAGCAGTGGGAACAAGCTCACCGATATTCATCTCACCATTTGAGCGTAGCCGCAGTCGAACTGATTGATCTGTTGCCCCATGTTGTTGAATTGCGCGTAGTAGTTCATGTTCATGTAGTTGTTGTCCTGCAAAACTCAGACTCTCTCTCTCTCAAGTCTGTGACATCGACGCTCGGCAGGACTTGGTTTCGGCCAGGAACAATGGTGTCTGGTTTCGGCCAGGAACAATGGTGTCAACTGCGTGGTGTAAACTTTGTTGGGGGGTCTTGCGATGCCCTGGTTTCACACCGACCTACGATGGATGCCCTAAATATTGCAAGCAGTGAACAAAGGAAACCCTGTAAATTCCCATGGTTTTTGGTTGGTTTACTTGCATAATATTTAGGGCATCCATCCCAGCTGGTGTGAGGATAGTCTCCCATTTGCTCGTTTGCTCCTTTGGGAATATGGCCAGACCCCAAAACACAGCAGCCACGGACCCCTTGGCACATGTGGCTCCCTGTGACATGATCTACTACAGGTAACATTTGAACCACCAAACATGTTTCAAACAAGGAAAAATAGGGGTCCCCGGCAAATCTCATTGTCATTGCGCCCAAAAGGCATGTCAAACGGCTAAACACGGTTCAACTAACATGGAATATAGAGCCACTGCACATGTCAATTCAGTTGGGCCCCAAAAGGTAGAATAAACCGCCCTACCCAAGCTGGGGCTTGCCTGGGAAAGGAGCCTTCATGACTCCATCAGTGAGGTCTCTGCAATTTGCGGCCCTGCGTGTATGCATTCAACTGCACTTGATTGTCTTGAGGGACCTTCTTGTGGCCTCTGGTCTATTTCTCCGGCACATGCATCAGAATCGCTGGCCATCTAGTATAATTGTGTGTTGATGCGAGTATGCATGATCGTGTGCGTGTCTGTCTCTGTCTGTGTGTTTGCGTGTTTGCGTGTTTGCGTGTCAGCGTGTCAGCGTGTCTGCCTGCCTGCCTGCCTGCCTTTCTGCCTGCCTGCCTGCCTGGCTGGCTGGCTGTCTGTCTGGCTCTGTCTGTCTGTCCGTCTGTCCGTCTGTCCGTCCGTCCGTCTGGCTGCCTGTCTGTCTGTCTCTCTCTCTCTCTGTCTGTCTGTCTGTCCGTCGGTCTGTCTGTCCGTCTCTCTGGCTGTCTGTCTCTCTGTCTGCCTGTCTGCTGGTCTGTCCGTCTGTCTGTCCATCCGTCTGTCTGTCGGTGCCTGCGTTGGCATGCTTATGTGGTTGTGTGTTTGTGTACGTACGCGCGTTCGCATCTGACCATGAATGTGTATGTGCTATTATGTATGTCAATGTACCTGTGTCTGGCACTCAAGTGGCATACGTAGATAGATTTCAAGAGAAGGTAGGCAGTTCTGGGCAAAGTATCATAAGGCACACGAATTCATCAAAAGGAGCCCCGAAATGTGAAACTTGTATCGCGGGTAAGGCTGGTGACCATCATTTGCCCAAATATCAGCTTCTCTCTGATTCGTTTAGATTGGTGGTTGAGTTTAGGGACGGTTTGCAACCCAATCCAGGGGTTCAAATTCAACTTGAAACCACCAATCCGAACCAATAACTAGGGGTTAAATGACAAATAGCTAAGCCTGCCCACACAGGCCATGGCTTTCTTGGTTGCCACACATCAAGGCCTGCGGCTATACATTGAAGCTTCGAGAGAAGGCCACACTATCACTGCACATGTTTAGGCACATGCCCCATGAGGCAAGCCTCCAACACAATCCTCAACGCCCAACACAACATCTACGATCGTTTACCCCAATGTTGTACCCCTTTCCCATGGTTTACCCCAAAACAGCATCTTTACCTGGTTTTGCACGGTTGAACGGTCGACCCCTCGATCTTGTCCTTCGTTAAATACCTCGTCAATTGAACCCCAACACTTGGTTGAAATGCTGAAGCAATGGCAAACCACCTACCACCAAAGTATAAGAACCACACAGAACAAGACCAAAATCAACTCCAACCCCTCCCCCCTGCATTCTCCCCGCATCCCTCCATACCTCCCGGACATTTCTGTCCCCTCCCGCCCCCCCCAAACCCACATCCCCGATCCTGTTGCACCTGCGGGATCGCGAGGCACACGGAGATCTTCAAAGCACCTCGACAGCCAAGCCCAGCCCAGCGGCCATGGGGAAAGCAAAAATGGGCGCCCTTTCTTTGTTCGTTGACTTTAAAGGGAACCCTTCCAAAAAAGGAAAAAGCAAAACAAAAGGGCACCACTGGGCAACTGGGCAACAAGAGCCGTGGCCCCAAAATCCCACATCCTCACTTTGGGCCCAAAGTCCCAAAACCCTCCATTTGGCTGTGGCTCAATTACATGTACCGAAAAATGCCCGCTTGGTAAATGGAACCAAACTAAAACCAGCGGTTTGCCCTAGCCCCTGAATTTTGAGCCACATCCATGAGCGTTCACATCCATGAGCGTTTAGGGCCCCCAGGGAAACATATGTCTAACAAAAAACACAGTAGCGACAGAATCCCTTTAAAACCAAAGAATAAACACAGACTCTTATAGCAAGTGGAAGATTCCAATCCAGCGACGGGGAAATTGAACAATTCCTCCCCCCCCGTGTTTGGTGGGCGCTTGGCCAACTT